TACCACCTCTGACTGGAGATTTTACAGCATCCTTTCCCTGCCACGCCCACCAACCCATGCCCACAGAACTGGTAGTAATTTTTTTTGAATCTCACCACTGGTTTGGTGGTCCCTGAGGTCCAAAAGGTTTGCAACCCCTGCTTTGGAGAATAGGTTGACCCAGGGGTGGGATTCAAATTTCTTAACAACTGGTTCTGTGGGTGTGGCCTAATTTGTGGGTGTGGCTTGGTGTTCATGTGATTGGGTGGGTGTGGCTTGCTGAGTGGGCATGGCTTGGTGGTCACATGATTAGCTGGGTATGGCTTATATGTAATTTAATTTAATTATATGTAATTTAATTTTTTATTTTAAAAAAAGAGCAACTTTTACCCAAAATCAGGCAAAGCAGGCAGGCAGATTGAGTTGTTCACAGAATCACAGATTCACTCAGAAATCTACCTTTCTGCCATCTGCTACCTGAGTCTGCACTGAAAAAATAGAAGCTTGAGTCCTAAGGAAGGTTCAGCTCTGCTTTTAGATTAGCTAAAAAGCAAGAAATCCAACGATTTCCTGCTTTCTAGCTAATCTAAATCTCCCGGCACAGCAGAACAGCTGATGGTCTGGGGGAAAAAAAAGAAAAATAGCAACTTAGCAGGCAAGTTTGATGGCGCGCACGCCAGGTAAGGATTGAGTGGGCGGGGAGGGGTAGGGCCAGCCAGTGGCGCGATTTGCCGGTTCTCCGAACTGGGCAGAATCATAACAACTGGATCTATAGAACTGGAGCAACCAGGTAGAATCCCACCCCTGGGTTGATCCATCTGTCAAGATGGCGGCTTAAAGCTGCCATTCAATATAGATTAATTGAGATGCAAGTTTAGTGGCTAATTAAACACACTTTAATTAATGCTATAGATGTCCTATTTGAATAACGTACTGAAGATTAATGCTGGTAAAAAGCTTTCTGCTGGACATTAAGAAACAATTGTGGTTTAAGTAAGGATCTGATCGGCTTAAGATCTCCCTTATTACAATGGCTGTGATCCATTCTTTTCTATAAATTTTATATCAAAGATCCTGAAACTAATCTGTAAAAGTTAATCTGCTCATCTACTGTCTATCATACTTATATAAACTTCAGAGTTATTGAACAGAATGTATAACTTTGGTGGATATTCCTGTGCTTATCCATCCACAAAATGGCTACTCATAAGCTAATGAGAGAACCATTATCTTGTGTTACTTTTCCTTCTCACAAAGCTGCTGCTAATTCATTTTGTCTTGTTTAGACTTAGGTTTCCTAAGAAAGCATCAGGGTATATATTCCCCTTATGGTCTTCCAAAATCTAAATGGAGTCTAACTAGATGTGCTACAGCAGTGATTCCCAACCTTTTGTTCAACTTCATTTCTTTAAATACCTTTTGTGACCACTAAGACTTAACTCAAGATTTAAACCATAAGATTTCTTCAAGCCTTCCTGTGGCGACATTGCACACCCTGCCCCAAGTGGTCCATGGACCACAGATTGAGCCATTGTGCTACAGTATTATAAACACATAGAGGTGGAGGCTAATTATTCATTCTTAGGAGGCCTACTGAGATGACCACTGACCCAGTTACAGTAATGTCGTTTCCTAAATTATATTTGAATTTTATAAAATATGCACATCCACAGCCAAGAAACCATTTCACTATTTGAGAGTGGATGGCAATTTCCCCTCTCTTAATAAGTCTCCATATTTGTAGCCCCAAAAGGGCTGTTGCCCAAAGATTTGCAGGACAAAGTTAAAAATACCCTCAAGGACTATCATCAATTCACTGGAACTATGTGGTTCTACCTGCTTTAAAGAAGGAAGGGTGTATCTTTCCCTGAAGAATTTGTGTTTGATCATATGCATCCAATCTCCAACATTCCCTTATTAGAAAAGGTTGTTGAGATGGTGTTGGTAAATTATTTATAGAAGATGCAGAAGGAAGAGGATCTAGAATCTTTTCTTCCAGGATTCAGGCCTGCTCATGGGAAAGAAAATACACTGATCACCCTTGTAAATGAGTCAGATCTGGATTTCAGCAAAGAGAATGTACGTGTTTGGTAGCCCTTGATATCAGCAATTATGGTACCCTTCCAGGCTGCTTGTAGTCAGTAGGACTTCAAGATGCTGAGTGGGAGGCTTCTACTTTGTACCTGAGTGTGGCACTCCATATGATGTTCATGGAGATGCAAAGATGGGGTCCTTATAGCTTCATTGCTTGGTTCTCTCTCCGTGGTCCTCTCCCCCATGTTATCTAATCCATTGGTTTGAGATGAGGAGTTATCCAGAAAAGGTAACAATGGATTGCTACCTCAGGCTGAGGTGGAGATGCCCTGGATGTGATGAAGTCTATAAAGGTCTTGCTTGGACAAAATCCAGGATCAAATTAGTGTAGGTCAGTAAACATTGGTCAATAATATAAATCCCCTCCCCATTCTTGACAAGTTTGTATTCCTCTCAAAGTCTTGTTTCATGATTTGGAAGATCTTCTTGAAGTCTTCATTTCTGATGAAACAGCAGGTAGAAACTGTGAGCAGGAGGCATTTTTGGATCGTGTGCCAGTTACCATTCTTAATTAGGATGCCTTGCCAATTGAAAAATAAATAAAACATTGATGATTGCTTGATTAGACTATTATGATGCATTCTACATGGGACTCTCTTGGAGATGACTAGGACGCTGTAACTCAGGGGTGTCAAACACAAAGCTTGCAGGCCAGATTTGGCCCATGTATACTCAAATCCAGCCCACAGGGCCATCCTGGAAAATGTAAGGGCCTGGCCTGCATTGCTTCGGCCTGGTCTACGCAATGCAAAGAGGAAACAGGCCAGCAGTTTGTGGAGTGGTGTCAATTGGCCATGCCCACCCAGTTGGCCACACCCACTTAGTAGCTTCAAGCTGGCCACACCCACCCAGCTGGCCATGCCCGCCCAGCCTCCCAAGTTCAACTAGTCCTGATGAAATAGTTGAAATAGTTTGATACCTCACTGAAATAGTTTGATACCTCTGCTGTGATCCAAATGCTACAGTAAGTTAAATTACTTTCCTAGTTGCTTTATGTTTTAAATTACTGATGTTGGTTCTGTATACGGATTGTGGTGGCTCAATATTCAGCTCCCTCTGCTGCAACCGATGAATCATCTATATTTTAAACTTTCTAGCAGTTGTTACTTTTCAGCACATTATTCTGAAAAACAGCATTTCAAAAAAAAATGATTTCAGAGTTCAAATAGTTTCTGCATCTTTTAACTTTTGATTTTTCATTGCAATGTCCAGCTGCAGCCCCATTCTGCACAAAATTTTCCGAGATTCCATTTATTGTAAAGACTGAAATGATCCAGATTGTAAGCAACAATGAATCCTCTTAAGTATTTCATGCTATATTGAATAGTTTTTAATTAAAAGTGTGATCCTTTGTATGTTTGCACAGAATTATATCATTGAAATTTAAATTAATCAGAATAGAGCTGGAAGGACCTTAACAGGGGACATTTGAAACAAGTGGCTGTCTTTTTTTTCTTTTTTTTAAACCTCCAGTGAGAAAGCACCCACAACTTCTGGAGGCAAACTAATTCATTGTTATTAAGAAGTTTCTCCTTAATTACAGGTTGCTCCTGTCCTTGATTAGTTTTCATCTATCGTTTCTTGTCTTGCCGTCTGGTGCTTTGGAAAATAAGTTGACCCCTCTTCTTTCAGGCAACCCCTCAAAAATTGAAATACTGCTAACATGTCCTTCTTTTCTTTAGACCAGTGGTGACTAACTTTTTGGGCTCCTGTGCCAAAAATTGTGTGTGTGCTTGCACGCTCATGTGCCAGCACCCAGAACACAATGTGCGTGGCACCCTCCCCATGCCCCCTGTGCATGCATGTGCAATTCCTCCTGCCACCGCCCCCTTACCTACACTGCACCTCCCAACTGATTTTCAGCCCGTTTGAAGCCTTTTTTGGCCTGCCAGAGGCTTGAGGGAAGCTTCCGCAGGCTGAAAAATGGGCCCGTTACATCACTTCCGGTATTTCCGGAAATGCAGGAAGTGACGAAACAGGCCTATTTTTCGGCCTGCAAAAGCTTCCCTCAAGATTCTAGCAGGCCGAAAAAGGCCCAAAAATCAGCTGGGAGGCGCATGCAAGCACAGTAAGGTAAGTTTGCCTAGGGCTCACGTGCCCGCACAAATGGCTGTGTGCCACCTGGGGATTCGCCATCACAGCTCTAGACTAACCGAGCCCAATTCCTGCAACCATTCTTCATATATTTTAATCACCAGCCTTTAATTGTCTTAGTTGCTCATCTCTGCACTTTTTTCAAAGTCTCATAATCTTTTTTGTAATGTGGTAACCAAAACTGGATGTGGTCTTCCAGGTCTGGATTTACTAAGGATTTATAAAGCAGTACATTTGTTTATTTATATATCCCTCTTGTCCCCTTATGTTTTCAGAAGTGTCATCTATATTACTAATTATCCAGGTGACGAAAGAATTATTGAGATGCTGAGATTCTCATTGGCTATAAGCAAACAACATTCATATTCAGTCAAATGTCATGGACAGAGTTTTTTCAAGTAGAAATCTACACGTATTAAGGATATATAATGTAGCTAACATTTTTAAAATTGGCCACCCATTCTAAAACTAATGTTGGAAAAAAGGAAAGGTAGCATCAACTACCGAGAACAAGAAGCAAGCTTTAATTCATATGCATAGCAACACTTGTCAAATAATTTTTCTTTTCTTTTTAACACTTTCATCAAAGCCTTAAGAACCCACTCAAATGTCGGGTGCTTTCCATCATTCCACAGGATGGATTGCAAATTGCAACTAAAAAGCTGTGAATCTTAAGAAAATGCCACCATTTTGTATCTGTTCTTCCCTATTTTTTCAGTGTAGCTGTATGTAATACAATGCTTTGGGAAGTAAACTGAGGGCACTAAAAGCTGCTAATTATGTCAAGTAAACCCAGCAGATAGTCTTTGAATGAAGGAAAAGAGACAGTGAGTTCCATATGGACCATTTACTGAATAAATACATGCAATAGCAAAATTAGATCAGCAAAAAACAATGCAATCTGTAGTCAAACAACTACTCTTTTCTTTTCCCCAGTTGCTGCATCATGATAGAATTTGAAACAGGAAAGAATGTTAAATCCTTAAGTCAAATAACAGCTTCATTGGTGGTTAGATTACAACAGCTCTAAATACAAAATGCAGCAAAAACTGCACCAGTTTCAACAGCACATAAAGATGGGTAAATACAGAGAACAAAGCTTGGCTTTCATTACATGAAATATTTAAGCTTTTTTAAGGCACAGAATAGAAAACAGAGAAATCTAATCTGATGGTATTCAGTCATAGAATTGCTAATTGGAATCTCATCAATCCTCATCATTCTTCAGTGAACCATTAAATTGTGAACAGGATATTCATGCACTCGGTTTCTATGTCCCAAAGGCAGAAAATTGTTTTAGTAATCATTCAGATTTTGGTCCAAATTTTCTCCATCTCTTACTGCAGAGCTATTTTCAATATATTTCACATTGCATCAATTCAATTATTATTATTATTTTGCATTCATGCAAAATGCAAGAGATATGGCCTTATTAGAAAGAACAGAGATGATAGGGAATATAACATTACTTTGTGTACCTTAACCTCAAACTAAAGTCTTATTTCAACTTACCAGGGGGCTTTTTCTCATTTTTTAAAATTCCTTTTCCTAATTTTAGTTTTTGATTGCAAAAAAGAAGCCCAAGGAGCTAAATCGTTCTGCATGAACTTGTTGATATTATGAGCCTCCTCTTCTCACCACACTGTCTTTATTAGTAGAATTCAAATATAACTTTAGAAATTACCACTTAAACCAGAGGTTTCCAAACTTGGCAACTTTAAGACTTGTGGACTGCAACTCTTGAAACACACAAGTTGAAGTCCACAAGTCTTAAAGTTGCCAAGTTGGGAGACCCCTGACTTAAGCAATGCCACTATATGGTACTCTTACTTACTGATGTCACAGTAAGCCACAACGGAATGCAAAGGTTAGAAGATCTCTTGTTTTTTTTCCAGTAAAATTTCAAATTATGGAATTATTTATTTATATCTTTTTTTCCTCATAAGTATATTTAATGGCTGAATCACCCACCTGCATATTCTTTTTTTTTTAAAGATTTCCCTGAAAGTTGTCATGCAGTAAATGCACTTCTATCATTTAAAAGGAAGTGAGGACCGCTAACCTAAGCTATGTTGTGTTAAGAGTTACTTATGCTATTCTGAATGAAGCCAACATGCCCATGTGCAGGTACATCACACTGAAATATAGACAACTGATTCTCAAAACATGATACAGACAATTTGCTACATATATTACAGGCACTTTGGTATCCTTAGTAGTCTAGTTATTTATAGGGCACAATGGGAAGTTCTCTACAAGCTTCAGTGAAGACTGCTTCTCTTGGAGAACTTCTTCAAAATTGTCTAAGCCAGAGTTAAGATTTTTGTAAGTTCAATTATAAAGCTAATATCCCTAAAGTTTAATTCACCATAGAAATCATTTGGCCAAGAGGACTTTCTAAGACTCTCAAAATTCCGATAAAATGTTATTATTTTACAGTATTGTATTATTCTTAGAAAGGCATTGCATATATATTCAAAATGGTGTGTAGCTAACTTCCATGGAACTATGCCATTTCTTGGGTTAAAATACAAAACTGCATCATTTTTGTTAAAACCATCTGAGAAAGCTTTCAAAAATATTTGAATAAATATAATTAATTTCCCCCTTGATTCTATTCTGAAAGCAACAATGAATAAAATGTTCACACTCAAATAACCAAGCCCATTTTAGCAAACTGTTCTTGCATTTCCTGGGCCTGCGAAAATCAAATGGGGGAAAAAAAGCTATACCGATTAGAAGATATATTTGATTTTAAATGACTCACTGGAAGTCTTTTTTCCTGCATTATTGTTATACAGAAGCACTGTGGATCAGCTTCAATGCTGTTTTTGCACACTATGTCCTCCCATTCTGCACTGTCATATTCCTTATTAGTAATGTGTGAATGAATCAACTTTGGAACTGGTACTTTCAAAAGAATGCAGTGCTATGAATGCTACGTGGCTACTACATGCATTGATTAAAAAAAAAAACAACCCTGCTCCAGGAATCAATACTGATAGTCCTGAAACAACTGTGAAAGAATCAACCAGAAATTCAGAAGTCTATACAGCTTGAGCTCATTATTTGCTGGTATTCCACATACAATTGTAAACATGCTTTAAAACTCAATTATAAACTGTTTCCTATCGGTAGCAATCAATATGACATCACAATGTTCTATCAAGGTGGCTGCCAAATCCTAATTCGTTATATATCTTGATGATACTGTTGCATTGGTATTTCCCTGCATTTTGGATAGGGCAAATAAACCTTTAATAAGAAGCGGTGAATGGAAAAAACACGGTACTGTACTACATAAATCTTCATTTTCACATCCTGGGTAAATATATAATATCTGCATTTGTGAATTATATGCATTATCTGAATGAAACTCAAAGAATACATTTTTCAATATAAATATTAAAGGTTAATATTTTGTATTTCCCTTTTTTGCAAATATTTAATCATACATCATTACATCAATAGTTTTCATTTTTTAAAAATAAGAAACTCTTAAATCCATAATATTAGTAAGAGTAAGTCCATTTTGCTAGCTATGCTATTCTCAAATTTGTTTTAAGATTTTTATATCATACTTTTTCCAAAGAAAATAGTTTTCTTTGACATCTTTTTCAGCATTCACACCTCTGAGGAAAATGCATTTTAAAAAATAGTATCTATTTACATGGCAGATATCTTGATAAGAGACAAATAAGGTAAAAGAAATGAAAGATAGCCCACTTTTCTTAAGGACAGAAATGCCATAACAGGACCTACTAAAACAAATGTTTATTCTACAAACCCTATTGCACATTAAAATTGCTGTTAACAAATGGAAAAAATCGTTTATAAGTAAGCTGGCTTAAGCCTACGGCAAAATCTCAAGTTATTATAAAATGGTTGGGGTGATGGGCCAAGTAACTAAAAGTTATAAAAAGTAATATCGGTACAATGCTGATAAAATACATAAAGATTGGCAAAGATATGCTAACAGGAGCTTTTGGAATCCAAAGCTGTCTAAGGTGCAATATTAGGTCTCGTCCCATCTTCTGTCAAGTCATACCTATGAAACAAATAAAAGAAGAAAAAGAAACAATGAACTCTTATCCAAATTCTCAATGGGGTAAAATTGAAAAGGGATCCTATGGCTGCACTTACCACTGAGTACAATTTTTGGAAAGTTCTTCTGATAGAGGTATCAATACCTGCAAGAAGAAACAAATAAATTATGACATGAGATTCTGTATGCCTTGGTTCTATGGAAAGCCATCCTAGATTCCGCCTTTGACTCTTAACCTCCTGTATGCAGTGTCATGGCTCACAAACATGAAATCTGAATTGTGATTCCAGTACAAAGTTAACCTCTTCAACACAACTGGTTCTATTTTATGAACATTTTTTCACAGCATCCCCTCCATATGCATGGCTCTTAAATCCTTAGAGAAAATACATCGAACAAGGTAAAGGTAATGTCTGATTTTTTCCCCCAATTCAAATCTTTACACATCAGCTCAATGGGATCCTGCTAGAAAATGCATGAAAGTTTTAAAAAAAAAGTAATTCTGTTTCAGAATCAGATCTACATAAAATTTATGGGATTATGCCTGTAATCCATCCCCACCCTCTTGGTTTTCTTGAAAGGCCTCAAAACATGGTTCTTCTGTGCTAGAAAGGGGCTAATATTGGTAGACTACAAAGTAAAATCTGCTTCCATGCTGCTCATGTACTTGGTTCCCAGTTTTATCCAATTCCTGTTAATTTTAATATTTTTAATGTTTGTACGCTCTTCCTTTTATTTTCTTGCTAGCTCCCCAGAGTCACCTGGATTATGAGATGCGTGGCATATAAATTAAATAAATAAACGTTGCCAAAAGAGAGGAACTAGCTGGTATTCTACAATACTTCAATTCATATTTATTTGCCATTGTCCGACCAATACTTTGTTTTACCTCTGTGATACTCACCTTACCAAGCAGACCTTTATCTTTAGATAAGAATCCTCCACTGTTCTTCACTGCTACATCTAAAGTTCTTCTCTGTAGATCAGACAAAGGGACGCTGAAATCAAAACTGAGAAGGGAAAAATGTTTCAGACAGAATATAATCAAAATACTTTGAAGTCAGGAGATCTGTGGCTTTAGAATATTTGCCTAAAGGGCCTGAAAATCAGCAAGATTTTTGAAGTTGCAACTGCTCAACTCATACCTATTACATAAGGGACATTACCCTCAGCAAAATTTTTTGCCTTCCACTGTTTTTAATGCTCATTTTAATAATCTATATTACTCCCAAGGCACAGCTCCAAATTCTACTTTTTAAATTATAATATTTATATCAATTAATGCCCAATTGATTGGGCTTTTTTGACAACTTATCCTCTACAAAAACATAATGTGGGTATACTGATAAAAGACTCATTTTTTATAATCTTATTTATAGAGATTGTAACAAAATAAACCAGAGGATGCTAATTGGCTACATCTGCATTTATTTTTATCCTCCTGCATTGTACTTTGAGTAGAAGTCACATTTCAGAACAAAGAAAGAAAATTTAATAATTTTCCAACTTTATGTGGTAAAATCAGAAACCAGATTGCAACATACGCCTGGTCAAACACTGGATTTAAATTCTTCTTTGAAACACTCGTTTTTCTTCTTCCTGATCTCCTCTTGTCAGGCAATAAATACATTCGAACGTAAGGGTCAGAACCGTCTTCTGAAAAGGCGATTAGATTTCTACAATGAAAGAATACAAAATATCCAGATCAGAAATAGTTAATAAAACAGCACATCCTTTCTCCAGGATACACCAATCTCTTTTTCCCATCTGCCTGGATACAAGCCCTCAGCCTGAATTCCCAAGAGAATCCTGGCTGGTCAAAGTCAGCTAAACAGGGAGATTTAACTGGAGGAATAAAGCTCAGCATTTTTGACAAGATGGGAGTGAAAAAAGCAAAGCCTTCCCAGTTCTCCTACATTGCAATCGTGCCTTGCAGATAAATTGATAAATGCAAGAAATATATAATACGATCACCTGCATGAATGCACAACCACCATAAGTTTGTTTCTCTGTGAACTGTGACGAATTGTTAACTGAATCTGGCCCAATGGAGACTGTCCCAGCGTTGTTCCACTAGAAAAATCAGGATAATACAAACTGTCAATGTTGAGTTTCCACAGTAACAAAATAATTCTTCCTTTTGTGATTTTGTGGGTATATTATGAAGCAAATAGTTCAGTAAAAACCCTAAAATAGTGTTCTACATGCATACATAAGAAAATCCTAAATGAGGTTCTGTATGTACAATTTACAATTCATTCCAATTTTCCAGACACAATTAAAATACAACATTACTAAATATTAATTGTTGATTTGTGAAGACATGTTTTGGTTTTGAGAAGCAACAATATAAAATAAGAGTTGCTGAATACTGGCAATATATATATTGAGGGGTGCCGGAATTGGTGCCTTTTAAACTTGCAAATAAATATCTGAGTCTAGGTGGAAACCTCATGAAAATGTCAACTCAGTGCGCAGATGCTGTAAACAAAATGCAAATATTTATGCTTAGAATCATTAGAAAGAGAACTTAAAAGTAAATATTGTCAGAGTATATTCATTAACTGGCAGAGACATGGTTAACAGGAGCAGCCAATGGGAGCTGACAGCCTGGATGTAGTTTGGCTCTGTGTGCTTTGCTGAGAATTGAAACTGAAACTAACTTGCTTGCTTGCTGAAACTGATATCTGCGTTGAGTTGCTGCTGCTTGTGTTTTTTGTTTATGTTACATTGAAAGAATCTACAAATGGTATTGTAAACTTTACTTATATTATTATGTTTATAAAGAAGTTAATGATCCTGCTGAATCAGTTGTCTGTGTGTTTTCTGGATTTGAATTTCTGCTGCAAACTCTAACAAAAATGCCAATGTAAGAATAGATGCAATATAAAAAAAGAATTTGGGACTGTACTTTTCAAGTTGCCTCAGACGTTGTCTTAATTCCTGCGTGGCGATGGGGAGAGAGATGTCTGAAGCTATACTTGGAGTAGGCTCTTTGACCGAAAGGTGGCTGGGAGAACCGCTCAGGTTGGTGGTCAGAAGACCGGAGGAACTTCTGCTGAGATCTGTTGGCCACGGAGGGTTAGGATTGGAGGGAAGGCCTGTTTCCGTCCCGTCAGTCCTCTTATTGGCATCTGCAACTGTAGAACTTGGGGCTTTGCTCACATCAGCTGCCGGAGAGGGGGGGACCTGAGGCTTGAAAGTACCCTTCCTCCCATCTTTGGAAACAGAAGGCCTCTTCACTTTGGCCGTATATTGGTAATCTGGAGATCTCTCTTGGCTTTCAAGAGAAAGGATCTAACAGTCACAAAACAAACAAGAAGACCACTTTTATTCTTTCTTACAGTTCAGAGAAGAAGAAGAAAGTTGCCTACACTAGGGACCCCCAACCTTGACCACTTTAAGACTTATAGACCTCAACTCAACTCCCAGAATTCCCCAGCCAGCCATGGTTGGAGGCCCCTGGCCCCTGGCCTATACCATTGAATGTAGCTTCCGACATTGGGGAGAAAGCTGAGGTACACGAACGGATTACAAGAGAACCAAAGCAGACCTGGAAGAGTTGTCTTTGAGGCTATTTTTCCACTCCCTCCAATTGCTCTACAGTAGGGCTGCCAAACTCCCGGTCCATGGGCCAGATACATCATATGCTGCTGTGCCCACACCGGGTTTAGGAAAGGGGGGAAAGTCCTGATATGTCATGTGATGCTGCCATGACATGAGTTTGACACCCTGCTCTGTAAAAACATGCCTGGAAAACCGAAGTCCACCTGAATTAAGCTTAATTGTCACACTGACGGTAAGATAAACAAAAGGAGCAAATGAGAGAGAAAGAGATGCACAAAATCCTAATGGACTCAAGCTTGACTCAGCCTTCCATCCTTCTGAGATCAGTAAAATGATGAAGGGGCAATATATAAATAATTCTTACATTGTACATCATCCAAAGAATGGTTTGTAAAGCGCTATGTGGCAGAATATAAGCTTAAATGCTATTGCTGTGCTGTTGCTATTGATTCCAACTCATTAAAAATAACCTTATTTATTGTCTGTTGTAAAGATATGCCAATTATGATGCAATGTGTGTCATTTTAAACTCTTAATCCCACCATTTAAAAGAATCTATATCTTGATATAAGAAGCATTATAGTTGCTTTTACTCATTCCAAATGCAGACCTTCCTATAGATTAAGCAGATATAAGAAGAGGAATGGTTTCACATTAAAATTAGATCTCTGGGGCATTTCTTCTTAACTTGATGGGAGAAAACTCTTCCAAGCTTTAGGCCAGTGGTGGCTAACCTTTTTGGGCTCCTGTGCCAAAAATTGTGTGCGTGCTTGCACGCTTGCACTCGCGTGCCAGCACTCAGAAGGCAATGTGCGCACCCCCACGCCCCCTATTCATACGCGCGTAATCCCCACCCACCCCTACTGTCCTCTTACCTAAACTGCACCTCACAGCTGATTTTTGGCTGGCTTGAAGCCTTTTTCGGCCTCCCAGAGGCTTGAGGAAGGCTTCTGCAGGCCAAAAACTAGCCCCGTTTCATCACTTCCGGTATTTTCAGAAAAACAGGAAGTGATGAAATGAAGCTAGTTTTCAGCTTGCAAAGTCTGCAAAGGCCTTCCTCAAGCCTTTGGGAGGCTGAAAAGGGCCTCAAACCGGCCGAAAATCAGCTGTGTTCACTGGGCATGTGTGCGCCTCACAGCTGATTTTCAGCGCATGCCCAGTGAGGTAAGTTTGCCTGCAGCTTACATGCCGGCACAAATGGCTCTGCATGACACCTGTGGCACATGTGCCATAGGTTCGCCATCACGACTTTAGGCAGAAGTTTTAATCACTTTTGCTTTGGGGCAGCAAAAGGGAAGCAAGGTAGTGACTGAAATCTTCGATGCAAAGCATTTTGTTCCATCACTGAAATACAGACTCACTCTATGGCATATATTGACACTTTCACCACAGTGTGCAGCTTTGTTCTCAAGAACTTCCAATGTGTCAATCAAGTAACTAAGTTTATAACATCTCATTCCCAAGCAAAGCTGCAGACCTTTTAAAATATTTTCCTTTCTTTCTTCAAATATAATTTGCATAACACTACCATTGCCACAATTATTATGTGCTTAATTTTTAAATACATTTTAGCAAACTGTTATAATATACCCTGAGTGCAATCTTCATGGATATAGTGCTGTTTGGACCAGAATTGTTAAGATGAAATCTCTGATGCATAGTTAGATCTTCACTTGCAAGGAGTTGGTTAAGAGGAAGCTTAAAATTTCCCAAGGAGCACTGGTGTTGTTCATCTTTGACCTATAGAAAAAGGAAAAAGAATTGTTACATTTAAATGAAAACCTGTATTAAGAAAAACTTAACAAATTATTGAGTCCTTAATTTTATTCAATTAACCTGATTCTTGACCCATTAATAAACTTAATCAGCTTAGAATGAACCCATGCAAAAAAGGTGTTAGGCACGTTGGCTTTTTCTAACAAAGAAAAAGCGAATACAGTATTTAAAAATAATTCAGTAACAACACCAGTATCAATAGTTAAATAAGACATCTTTGTTTGCTATAATCTGAATTTATATGTATTGTCACTTTTCCTTACACACTCAAATCCAGCACTAAAGAAAGCCAAATTTGACATGACATTTATGCTATATTTAGTACAAAGTAAGCTTTACACTATATTACATATATATTACTGAAAGAATTCTAAAAAATTCTAATCACCTACTAAAATTTGTTAAGCAAATAGGCAGAATCACAGATATTTCCAAGATACGACCCCTTGTTTATTCAGTAAAACATTTGACTACTGAGAATACAACATTTTTACTGCAATATTCCCAACGCTGCAGCCATTCTGGCATTCTACCCTCAATAGATACCTCACATCAAGCAAATAACTAGAATGACCTACCTCAACTTCTAGTTCTTGTCGTCGAGGATTATGAACAAAAAAGGTGAAATGCTCTTCCCAAACGGGTTCATTGGTCTTATAGCGGATCTATTCAAAGGTAGGATTCTTTATTAACATATATGAAAAAAAGTAAGCCTACTTATATAGACACACAGACGTTCTTCTCCCTTTGCTCCAAGGACTGCATGTCCTTGGGCAGGGGTGTCAAACTCAAGGCCTAGGGGCCGGATCCAGCCCACAGGATGCCTAGATCTGGCCCATGAGGCCACCCTGAAAACAGTGAAGGACTGGCCCAGGGTACCTCTGCAAAAATGGAGCTTGCAAGGGCAGCGCATGAGCTCCGTTTTCACTGGCAGAGGCTGTCTCACCTAAAAACGGAGCTCGGGAGCCCGTTTTCGTTGGCAGAGCACTTGGGCCACTACAGGCACCTCCCAACACCAGTGATATCACACTGGCCACGCCCAGCCATGTCCACCCCTGCCCCCAAGATCAAACACAACTCTGATACGGCCTTCAATGAAATTGAGTTTGACACCCCTGTCCTTGGGTAATATACTAAGGGCACTGGGCAACAGTGGAAATCACAAAGCTGGATATTCAACATACACATGCATATAAATACATAGAAACATCAAAGTGGTTTGCATTGGAAGTTTATACCTCACATTCTACAATGTGCTTTGTCCCTCAATGAAATTTTTTTTTCCAGATTTCTGGAATGGCAAACAGAGTTGCTTTAATCTTTTATTTCACTTGCATTCCTAAACCAGATCAGAAATATGAGCTGGGGATAGAGAGAGTAATGTGAAGGATATTGTCTTCTTAAACCAGTTTTCAAGTACAGCACTTTTTATCCAAAGAAGCTCACAGCAGTATGTCCCTTTGACACCCTGTCCTTCCACACCAGTTCTAACTCAGATCCAAGGGCCTGCAAATTGGTTTGGGGAGTGGGAGAGTGAGGGGTTCCATTAGCTTTGAAAGAAAATGTTACTCAGACTGATGTGATCCTGTATATACAAAACGTGGAAAAATCACGTGTGAACTGTATTGTTTTACAAAAAAGGACAAAAGTGGTTAAGACTTGCCTTGCTTTCTTGTGCGTTGTGTCCAACTGTCATTAAGACAAGGGGGTTTGGATTACTGTTCATTTTCTTCCCTGTCTGAAAATGTAGAAAACAAAAATTCTATTACGCTTATTTTCTTTCCATCCACATTCGGGGTCACGAAGTATATGAGATATAGGAATCACATAACTTACCTTAAAAGATTTTCACATAGAAATCACTGAGGTTTCCAACCCTTTTACAAGTATTGTGTTTTTGAATGGACTGGTTTAAAATGCTCAATCTTTCATCCTTAAATAAGCATTTCATCCCCCCAAAGTTAATGAAGCAACATCAGAACAAATGAATGAATGTTGCAGCCAGGAAGCAAAAGGGGTATATGGAGAAAATGCAAGCTTAGAAACCTAATCTTACATATATGGAATGATTAAGCAAAATGTCAGAATTATAAAACATTTGGAAGATAATAAAAGAGATGATATGCTATGGTTTTTATTATAAGTTTACCTAGTTTTCTTACTAGAACCACAAAAGTAATTTTAAAGAACTGAGATGATGAATGTCTATTAATAGTCTACCTACCAATTTCTCAGATAAATACTTTTTGTTAAGAAGGAGTTACAGAAGTTAATCTGAAGCATCTATCAATGCTGTTAATACATTAATTAAATTATTATTAATTAATTTATAAACAGAACTCCAAAAAAGTAACATGATTAAAGGAGACGTTAAAACAATGTTAAGACAAAAATTGCAGATTAAAGACATGGGTATTATTCTCATCTCAGCACATACTGTTTTGAATTTTTAAAGGGTAAGCCATGTTTAATTTAGTTTACCTAACAATTTGCTTTTCACTGTGAAAAAAATTAAATTGACAGAAAATTCATTCAGATTTTTTCCCAAGTTAGTTCCATTTCTGAAAATTATCTTCAAGGGCAAAATATAAGCCATATGGATCTTCACCAATATCATCCCTGTTTTATATTACGTATTTTTGAATACGTATGAAAGAGGCTCTTAATCATACCCTTATTTGGTAAGATGTATTGTTTATTGAATGTTTGGCCTGTTGAGATATTGACCTGTTCAGACACTTATTTCTTATTTATGTTTTTCTTAACTTTACCAATTTCTGGTTTTCCAAATGTAAAACTCAGACAATTTATTTACCACTGAAAGGCAAAACTGATGGACAGACAAAATGTCTCTCAGAAAATACTGCAGTTACCCCTTTAATATAAGCAGAACTTGTTTCTAAAAGTAACAGAAGTAAGATTCAAGTCTTACTTCTTGCTTCAGGAAACTGGGAGGCACATTTCTTTTTTATATATATATGGTACCAATTAAGTTTTCTACAGGTAGGGATAAACAGATAGGTACTGTCTATATAGCTGCTTACAGCTAGTCTTTCAGTTCAAACAGCAATTTTGAGCTATGTACCTGCACAATTTATAAACTAGCTATTCTGTGTTGTAAGCATCTTCAAAAAAGTACTGCTCCTACTTTCCACATTAGTGGCAGGACTAAATTTAGTTTTCCACTGGCAATTTGTCTTTTTAATTGCATGCTTGTATCTACAGTGGTAATCCTGAAAGAAAAGGGATGGAATTAATAAGCCTACAAAAGGTTTCTGTTTCATGATGACTTAGTGGTCCTTATATTAGTTTTGTTATGAAGATTTTGATTGCCAATATGCAGTTACATCCCCAAGTTCAGCAAATGTATTAAAAAGGGATCAAGGATTCTGGGTTAAAAAAAAAAAGCATCAATAGGTTTAATAAATGCATGCTTTTGAAAATATTTTGGACATTCAGTAGGATGGAAGAATTTAGAAGAATTAAATAATTTGTTTAATAGTAATATTATAGCTGGCTCTCTAATGCCAACTTTTTAAAAATAATTGCTTATGAGAATTAAATATTATTTGTTTTTATAATTTATATAATGCAACCACTGATGGGATATGCCTTCTACTTACAGGCAAACTAATGTTATTGAGTCCTGATCTAACTTTGTGACACTAAGCTTACATCTCCTGGAATTCAAAATACTTAAAAGATATTTTCAATTATTTAGGACTGCCTTTATAATCTTTATAAATAACTCAAGGTGGTGAACATACCTAATCCTTTTTCCTCCTCCTATTTTCCCCATAACAACAAGACTGTGTGATGAGTTAGCTAAGAGTGAGTGATTGGCCCAAAGTCACCCAAATGGCTCTCATGATTAACTCACAGGGTCTTGTTTTGAGTTTGGTGCCTTCACCATTAGACCAAACTGGCAGCTCAGAGTCTTTATTTAAGTGCGTGATTTTAAATGGAAAATTGTATCACTTTTACCTTTAAGACTTTCTGAACAGCAGACTTCTTCAAGGCTTCTGGATTATAATCTAAAGGGTTATGCTTTTAAACCAGAAGAAAATGAACATACAGAGGGTTAATATGACATGCAATGAAGTAGCTCCAATTGGTTAATTAAGGACAGGACAACAATGGCAGACCAAACAAACATTCTCAGAAGAAAGAGAAAAATGCTTGAACATTAATATATATGAAGTAACTTGATAAACCCTTTTTTTTTCTTATTCCATTTTTAATTATAATATTTCACTGACTTTTTCCAGACAGGCTAAGATTCTCCTATTTGCAGTAACTTTTTTGCTCCATTGCATTTGATTTGATAATATGGATACCAAAAGTAGAATAGATCTAACCAGCTGATAATTTTCATTAACAATTTCTAATTTTATTTCAGAAAAACGGCATCATCCTGACAGTAAAGCAGGCAAACTATAACGAATTAAAACTACAGCACTACCAAACTAATTTAAGAAATTAGGAATTCTTAAAAAGAGAGGGAGAGGGATTCTAGAATTTCATTTTGTCCCAAAATTTCTGAGATGGAATAGACAGTTAAATCCAGCTTAAAAAAATAGAATGGAAACTAAATTGCTAGGCAAAGCATGCTAGCTACTTCAAAACAGGAAAAGAGATGGAATTCTCTGTCCTCCGGAATAACTATTTAAAGTTTGTCTTGTTTTCAATGGGAAAAATGTTATAAACTTGTACGTATGTCTCAATAGTATACATCATGCGGCAGAAACATTATACCAAAAATTACCAGAAAATTTATATCTGATGGACTGAAAGAGTTGCTGACCACTAACTAAGCTTTTAACTAAGAATGAATTTACTTCTATATTGTTTCACTCTGTTTAATTGCCTAAGTTCTCTCTCTATTTTTTAGATTTAGATTAGAAATTTTTATCAAAATTTCTGCTTGCTTTCTTGGCAGGAAGCCACACTTCCAAATAAAGTTCCTACCCCATATTTAGTTCAAGAAAGTTCATGCAGGCTGTTTATTTGAGAACATTATTGTTATAAAGATGAACTAAAAGCTGGCACTTTTGCTTTGGGGTATGTCAGCTCCCCATTTTCTCTAATTAAGCAAATCTTTAAAAAAATAAGGTCAGATGGGCAGGAAAAAATTTAGTATCATAAATTTATGGATATTCATTTTTAAACAGAGGTACTGTGTACAGCTAATCCTAGACTTATAATCAATTACTTAGCAACCAAAGTTTTGACAGATTTACTGGGAGTGGGGAGTACTTATAATCCAGATTGACAGTTCCAATTATCAGCCTCATAACTGTACAGTCACATACAGTACATAACTGTACATAACTGATATAGTCTCATAGCTGCATTTTGGGCATTCAGCAACAGGGATGCATTTATGGCCATTGGCAGAGCCCTGCAATAATTTGGCTGCATTTTATGCCGATTTTCCTGAAAAATGACATTTATTTATTTATTTATTTTGCAAAACTGCACCCATGATGAATAATTGATTTGCTTAATGACTGTAGCATTTGTTTAACAGCCACCACAAATAAAATGTGTAAAATCGGGACAGACCGATTTTATGATTGTCACGAGTTACAGCCATGCTTGGTAGATTTCATTACAGTCATAACTCAAGGACTCTCTGTTTTCTTCTCTAAAGTTGTCCTTAGGTTTATTTTTTAAAAAAGTAAATCAGGTATGCTCATTGTATCCTCTGTTTGGCTGGCTACTTAAATATTGTAACAACTTGATGCAGCACAAAGGGAAAATAGTTCCCTTTCTTCTTAAAAGCTTTCGGCTAGTAGTAGTTTTATGCTGAATGTCTATTTGCCTAGACTGGAAAAAGTCTCCTCTCTCTTTTTTACCATGTCGCTTCTTAGCATTTAATTTTCAGCTCCTAATGGTTCTTGCTATAGTACTTTCTTTAGAGAGGGTCACACATAGACGTATTCAAGACTGCCATGAAATTTTGCCTCGATTGTATTTTTAAAAAATTCTTCCCAATTTAGGAGGAACACCATAGCTGCTTTTGATGAAGAGGAGCCAACGGTATCAGAGTAAAAATAACAGATGACAGAGATGTTTGCGGCTTGCATGCCACTGTCATGCAAATACCATAATGCTTATTAAGGAATCTTTAAGCTATAAAAAGAGAAGGAACTGTTCCAGTTCCACAAAGAAAAAGAAAAAAGACAAGGTGAAGTTTAATTTGGGTCAAGTTGCTGTTAAAAGTTTCTTTTTCTGATCAACCTTTACTTCTGTTAACACATCATTTCAATTGCCTTAATAGAGTTGGTAGTTTTAACAACACACTGGAACCAAAATTTAAGGACTGATAGCAAAATAAATGAGAATTTAATTATGACACACTGTTTTGGTATTACATTTGAATCTTTCCAACTTGAATCAAACACACATCCAGGTCTGTTTTTACACTGATTTCAGAAATTCAAGACAATCAAGATTCTCAAAGTAAACCCAATAATGAGATGCCATAAAATAGGAACATAGGTGATTTGCAAGCTTGAAATGATTATGTAATATGAATTCACAACCCCTATTTTATTTTTGTAACTCTTTCAAATTTCTACTTGCCTGTGAGATTTACTGACTGTCTTTGCATGAGCTGTTATCTCTCAGCAAAATCTACTTTAATATGCTCGGATGGATACGCCTAACTTATATTTTAATGACAAAAGGCTGCACAAGAAGGTGTATTTTTTTTCTGTAACACATATTATTCCAATTTTAATTATGCAACTTGAACCAAACTAAGGACCTCTTGGGCCCTTACATATGCCACACACAATACTTGCACTTACTTTCCAAAACAATTACAAAGTATGTCGATTTTTACAATTCAAGACCATTTCATTTCTCTGCAAGCACATTTCTTCAGGTAGATAATTGAGCATGCTAGTCTCTAAAAAAATTAGCAAATTTAGCTGAGAAGCTAAACTAATTACACCACTGAAAATGTAGCGAAAACAATAGAAACTTCTAAACCATGCACTTAAAAAACAAAGTATTGCATGCTCCTCCATTCCAATGTTAGGGCAAAGTGGGTTTATGAACACCAAGGTTATTTTAAAAAAGGTTATTTTTTTAAAAGAAAGGAACACATAAACCTGAGAACTCACAAATAGTGTTCTATAGACTGAGGTAGTATTTTCACAAAAGACTAGTCCCGATGCTCTCCTCTCTTTTAAGTATCCACACCCAAATTTTCCCTCGTAGATACTCTTTAGGAAAATGCAAATGGAAGGAGAAAGCAGAAAGTCATGGGATTCTAGCAGCCTGAAGGCTCAATCAGCTTTACCTTTAGCATAGATACAGAAAACTGAAGTATTGAAAATCATATGAAGAAAGAATAAACCAACAGCGCTTTTTTCCATTATTGATCTAGCTTTATCGACATTTCCAGGTAATTATTTGCTCCCTACTACAATTTGGGTGCGTTTTAGCTGCAGATACCACTTGCACAACAAAATTGCACTTTTCAATAATAGCTTTTTAGCACACTCATGCACCACCTTTTTATACCAGACATCAATAAGGTTACTACCATTGTAAATGGGAAAAAAAAAGATGATTTTCCAAATATAAAGAACTTGTGCTCTAACCTTATTCTGTATCCGTTCTGCACAAAGGGAAAAAGCTTCATTTTTTAAAGGAAATTTTAACTATGTTATACTATCAGATGATTATGATGCAATGAGGCCCATTATTATATATTGTTTCTTGACTTTTTTAAAAAAACAACAGTATTCTATTCAAGAGTTCCAGGATATAAAATGAAAATAAAACTATAACAAATAACAAATCCAAGATTTCACCTCATGAACTGCAGAAACGCTTGGGTACCCATAGATCTCAGTTTGTCTACCACAAGTCTTGACAAAGAAATACTGTATTTTTCGGTGTATAAGATGCAATTTCCCCCCCCCCTCCCAAAAAAGGTGGGTGGAAATGTCTGTGCGTCTTATACAGCAAATGTTGCCAAAGCCCCACCCAATTGCCCCTAACCTTCAGCCTCTGCCTACCAGCAAATTGCCTCCTTGCAGCAAACAGCAAACAGCCTGGTCAGCTTCAGCACAGCCTGATTTAGCACAAGCAGCTGATTGTCAGTTGGATGGGCCTCCCGATTATCAGTTGTTTCAGGCTGCAGGGATCGCCTATTGCTGCCTACGGGAGCCCCATTTTCAGCCTCCGCATCCCATTTTCAGCCTCCGTAGACCCCATTTTCAGTCCATTCTGATCCCCGCCACCTGGAACTCCCTGCAAATCCTGGGAGGCAGAGGCACCTTTTTTTTTCTTGTTTTCCTCCCCAAAAGCTAGGTGTGTCTTATATTTCAGAGAGTCTTATAGTCCAAAAAATATGGTACAGTGGAACCTCAGGTCGCAAATGCTCCTGATTTTTGATTCCACCTGGTTTTTGAATCAGGCCACGATTCAAAAATTGGGTAGCGAACAAAATTGGCACAGAAAGATTTCCCCTTCCGCACCCATTTCCCCTTCTGCACCATTTTTCTTTTGACTGCACGCATGTGCAGTCAGTCTTGCTTCCGGACATGACCAAATTGGGTTGCAACCAGAGTCTGGGAATGGATTAAGGTTGCGACCTGGGGCTCCACTGTATTAACATTTTTATTGGCATAGTAAGAATTGAAACACATCCTTCCAAAGGACTTTTCATAACTGTGAGATTAATCTCAGGCCAAGAAGAGTTGCCACTTCATTATTTACCATTGATCCATGACTTTGACAACCTTTTTCTGGCTTGGAGGTTACAAAAGATCTAAGACAAGGATATGACCTTCTCAGAATATATAAAGTAGTCCTTGACTTATAATCACAATTGAGCCCAGAATTTCCATCACTAAGCAAGATCGATGTTAAGTGAATCACTGCCGTTGTTAATAATATAGTAGTTCAATAAATCTGGCTTCCCCATTGTCAGAAAATCTCAAAAAGTGATCACATGACCCCGGACACGGCAACTGTCATAAATACATGCCAGTTATCAAGCAGCCAAATTTTGATCACATTATCGTAAGGATGCATAAGGATCATAAGGTCATATGAAAAACAATTTGGTCTCTCCATATGTCATCCTTAGTGAAGCATGCAAACCAGTGCTTGCATTTCCTGCATTGAATAAGGACACCATATCTTTCTCCTTCTGTCCTGGCCACATTTTACAGAGGTACAATTGAGAACATTTAACAAACTGCGTAACTGTTTGGTTGGGTGGCAGCAGTGCCTCAGATAGAAAGTCCATACAGAGAGTTATAAAGACAGATGAGAAGATTATAGAAAGCTTGCTTCCCATTATTCAGGATACTGCTTGGGCTTAGGGCTTTAACCATTGTTAAGAGATTCCACATACCCACTTTATGGTGTTTTTGTTGCTCCCCTTTGGGAGGGGCTTTCAGAGTATCTATAGCAGGAGTACTACATTCTGTAATAGCTTTGTTCCTTATGCCATCCATCTTGTAAACTTGCAGGATTGTTTCTTTTCGCCGTGTGTATGTATGTGTGTGTGTGTGTGTGTGTGTGTACACACACACAAACTAGACTATGTTATTTCTCTGTGTCATATAATAATATATGTGGGTACAGGCATAATTTTGTATGTCTGTATGTATTCTGTCATGTTTATGTAATGTATATTAAATTTCACTTTAATGTATGCTGATTAGCGTACATTCAAAATGACAGTAAAGTTATTCTATCTATCTATCTATCTATCTATCTATCTATCTATCTATCTATCTATCTAATCATGTCACTTTCTTCAGAGTCATTGTACCTTTGAACAGTTACTAAACAGAACATTGTAAGCCAAGAACTACCTGTATATTCAACATATTCAATGTTATTTTTTTATCAAGGGAAAGAATAGAAAAGCTTTACAAGAATAAGTTTTTAAAAATATTGCCAATAACTTCCTATATATACACCTTTATCATTGTTACCAACTTTATCTAGTGTTCAGGAGGAATTCTGTTGAAATGGCAAAATCATAATTAGAAAACTTTATGACAACCATTGATCCTTGTTTAATATTTCATCTTCAAACCACATTAATAAATTTCATTAGGAGTTTTCTTCTTAAAGGCTAGAGGAAGAAGGCAAATGTATGCTTCATTACAAACATCACATCCTTGGGTTTATTTCAGGACCATTCATTATTTTTTATTTAGTCCTGGATAAAACGTATTAAAAGATACCATGATTTACAGTTTAAATCTATGGAATTTTCCATGAAGCACTCCAATTATACATATTTGGGTTTTCTCTCTGTACAGAAATGAAAAATCTGTACAATCGGAACAGTGTGTGTGGGCACATTTTATTTTTACAAAGTGAAAGGTGTTTCCAGCAGCTATTCTGGGAAATTCTATTTGGGGACAGTAAACAGATCTTTTAATTATAAGCTTGCAAGCATATGTGGGAAAGTATTCACACCAACCCTGCTCAAACATTTATGTATATGAAAAACAATCTAGAATAGCAAAAAAAAGTCCTTTTCATTAGCAATTCACAACATCCAAAGATGGTTTCAGGTTATCTCTATTGATTTGCTACAATGAAGCATGATTCTTCCTTGCTCAGATCATCCTACTGAATATATTGTTTGGATTTTAAATATTTTACCCTTAATAAGAAGAAAAGGCACCACTTGAATGCAAATATGCACACATATGTCCTGCAGCACAATAGCTCTAGATTTAGAAGCGTATTTCATTCACTTGAAGCTGGAATTGACCAACTATCTATTTTTCCTTTCACAACCGCTCACAAAATGTGTTCATAAGAGTACCACATTAATTAATGCTGTAAATTTATTGTAAATTAAAATGGCACTGTTCTAGGAGTGTGATTAGATTACTGATCCTGCAAAATAAATTTAGCAGCAAGGTATGCTTATCATAGAAAATTATCGATGTCATGGAATGCATGAGGAAAAGTAATTAAAACATAACGTGATTAGTGGGGCAAAGTGGCACAGTGGTAAGTAATGTGTGACTGAAGAAAATTAAGAATCACTCAAGAGAAGCTTCATTATCACCCAAAACTTACTGGCAGGTTTCTTGCTGAATCCAAATAAAGAATAAGCAATGCTGATGAAAGCCCATCATTGGCTTGATCTTTATCAGCTCTAATGCTTTTTAGCACCTAAAATGATAAAAGTATCATTAAAAACTTTAGTTTCGTGCTTTATCTCTAACTAAAAAGAAAACAAGTTATAAAATGCAAACAAAATAATACATAATAATTTAAAATTAAGTATTACTACAACTTATATATCAAAGAACAAGATAGCCAACATATATCCTAAAGTAAAATGTTTTAATTATTTCCAAACAGAATTAAACTAGATCTGAATAAAAATTCCTTATCTGAAAAGAAATTCCACAACATGAGAATGTTTTCACTGCCTTATTCTTGCTATTTCTAAAAGTCCATGGAATTATTTTTCAATATTAATGGTTCTACATATGAGAAATGATATGAAAAGCAAAGTGAATACTGAAGTCTTTGAATGCACTTGCAAGTGTTAAGAAACACGCTCAACTGGGAAAGTAAATGACATAAACCATAAATTCGCCATTTGTGGAATGTTATCTAGAATCAATGCCTTCTATTGTTTGATTCACTGCACCATTATGATCTAAAATAAATATTGAATATATTATTTGTTTCTGTATTTAATGTAAAGGCTTGACTCACCTCTAATGAATGCTTTTTGCTTTGCCTGAAGTATTAATGGTTTGTATGGGAGATGGGGGAATATGAAAACCCAGTATAGTATTTTTCTGCTAAATTCAGGGGCTAAATTTTTTCACTTCCAGGACACCTGAGTACTTGAGTTTCTTAAGTTTTTCTTTTCATAATATTTTATAGACATAATCTATGTATAGAGTTAGCGATTTTATAATTAGCTCTGGGTCCACTGTTCAAAAGTATTGTTCAGTATGTCCAGTGTTAAAATATTTTGCTTCATTCTATTAGTCTAGTTGAAGTGTTCTTCTCCTTTAATTGTAGTATTTAGTTCTTTCTAGTGTCCAATTTTTAAAATTTTATATTTTGATTTTTTTTAAAATAAAACATTTTAAAAATGCATTTTCCCAGAGAAAGGATTAAAATTAATTCCTTATGGTGAGAGGGCAGCATATGGATTTAATAAGTAAAAATAAAATCTATCTAGATTTATCTAGATCCTTAGTTCATTTGTAACTTTCTAAAAAATCATAGTTTTAATCACTGTCTTGCTGTTTATTTAAAAAGATTAAGTTCTTAAACTTGTTAAGTTAGGTTAAAACTCACCTAGTGCTAGAAAACTTGTTCATCCAAAGATTTCTAACAGATGAAAACCAGTTAACACACAATTTCCAAACGTGATTACAAAAATATGGAAATTTTAGTATTCTTTCAAAGCTGCCAAGCAAGATGTTGTTCTCTCATCTCCCAGAGCTCCAAATAGACCAAAGACAGTCTTGCAGTCTCCTCTGAGAAGCAGCTGAGTGGAGCATCTGTGGGCAACCTCCAGTCCTCTCCTTGTCCAGAGAGAAATTATCGAAGAGCCAGCTACTCCCTGGCTCCTCATTTGCCACAGTCTTTGGCTCTGTTTTCTGCCAAGCAGTTTTCTGTCTGCCATTTCTTTCCCAGAGGTTGAAAAGCAACATTTTCTAATTAAGCCCCTTATTTTTGACTTGCTAAGCGAATTTTCGATTTTTTTTTGCCTAAAATAAATATTTGGTTTTATTCTGTGTTCTTCTAGAAATAGAGCATAGCTAAATGAATGTGAACAACCATACATATAACGACATATTTTTAATGACAGCCTCTTCAAATGCAGAAAAAAAAGTAGACAAATATACCTGGTCAAGATTTTCAACAGTAGGCTTCAATGTGAGCCATTCGAGTTTTAAGTGCAATTTTCCTTTGGAGACTTCGTCCAAAGTAAACCACTGTAAGGAAAGTCCATAAAGTATAGTAAGAACCAAAGCCATTTGCTGCAAAATTTACCAACATTACATACAAATTCCTGAGCAAAGCTAACTAAGGACACTTCATATGAAAACAGCTAAAGACATTGTAACTGACAGAATAAAAACATTTTATCGAAAATTGTACTGATTCCTGCATTTCACCCAGAAAACTATAGTAAAATTATTTCATAATAAAATACATACAATGACTTTTTAGAATTAAGCATCTGAATATTTAGCTTAGGACACTTCAAAACACATTTAACAGGAACTTTTACAGCCGTTTGCAGCATCCTGCAATGATATTACCACATTTTATAATTATTTTGCCAAAAACTGGCACTTATTTCTGGTGTTTGTTAAAATCATGTCCATAGCAAACCATTTGCTTAACCACAGCATTTGCGGTGCCATGGGAGCGCAGTGGTTAGAATGCAGTATTGCAAACTAATTCAGCTCACTGCCTGGAATTCGATTCCCACCAGACTCAAGGTCAGGGGTGTCAAACTCGATTTCACTGAGGGCCACATCAGGGTTGTGTTTGACCTGGGGGGGGGGGCATTGGCAAGGTGGACATGGCCAGCTCAACATCACTTGTGTCGGGGGGGGGGGGACTGGGGCAATCCACTGTCTCCAGCGGAGAAAGGTGAGACCAGGGAGAGCGCCAAACCTTTGTCCTCCAGAGGAGCCTTGCCATCTGCTAGTGGCCAAATGCTAAGGCAGGACTTTCCTTCCTTCCTTCCTTCCTTCCTTCCTTCCTTCCTTCCTTCCTTCCTTCCTTCCTTCCTCCTTTCCTTCCTTCCTTCCCTCCCTCCCTCTTCATTCTCCTTTCTTCTTCCTTTTCCTCTTCTTTTACCTTCCTTGCTCTCTTCCCATCTTTTTCTTTGTGTTTCCTCTTTCCCTTTCTCCTTTCCTGTCCCTTCTTGAAGCTCAAATGCAAAAGGGGAAACATTTCTCCTCTTGTTTTGTTTTGCTTTTAGTTTGTTTTGCTAGCCTTCTGCCAGAGAAAACGGAACCTGGGGGTGGGTGTTGCATGCCGCCCCAGGCCCTATTTTTCCCCTGGACAGCCTCCTGAGGACTGCTTCCATCCCTGTTTTCAGCCTGGACAGCCTCCTGAAGCCCTCTACCAGTGAAAATGGAGTCTGGGTGGCCCACGCGCAGCCCCCGTGGGCTCAATTTTTGCTGGTAGAGGGCTGCAGGAGGCAGTTCAGGACAAAAATGGGGCCTGAAGCTTCATTTTTATTGGCAGAGGTACTACAGGCCGGTCCTGCTGTCCTATGAGCCAGAATTAAGCACCCCATTGGCTGGCCTTGAGTTTGACACCCCTGCTCAAGGTTGACTCAGCCTTCCATCCTTCTGAGGTTGGTAAAATGAGGACCCAGATTATTGGGGGCAATATGCTGACTCTGTAAACTGCTTCGAGGGGGCTGTAAAGCTCTGTGAAGCAGTATATAAATGCTATTGCTATTTGTTCAGTGACCATGGATTCATTTAACAACAGCAGATTTGATTAATGTCCACTGCAAAAAAGGTAATAAAATCAAGGTGGTCACATGACCGACCCTTTTTATGACAGTCATGATTTATGACCATGGTGGGCAGGCTCCTTATGGCCATAAGAAGAGGACTGTTTGTATTCCACTCCCATGGCTTTTGTCTTCAATTCCACTTCTTAACACAAAATGCTATCATCAAACTAAGAAAATCTATTCAAGGAAATCTGAAGTCTTTACTGAAATTGTGATCCAGATCCAATATATGATTAAGCACTGCAGATTTATTGTATGAACCTTCCTTGTCACTGTCCTCCCCAGGCTGAATAGAGATTTACCTCATCTATGTGACGTTCCTTTTCAACTTCAATTAAGTCTATCGTCAGGCTAAAAAAACACAATGCAATGCATTAGAAGACCGTTATCTGAACTACAGAACCTGAAGCTGGAATTTTGTAGCAGCAAAATGGTGAACACACTAGAAAAAAAAAACTGAAAAAGCAATTCTAAACAAAAAAAAGAGGATATGTGATTGAAATATGAAATAAAGGTTATCTTGTTTTAAGAACTATGAATAAAATGGTAGGATCTGCTGCAGAAAAGTTTAGTTCTTTGTAGCAGAACAAGGCGTTGGGAGGGAGGGAGAAGAGAAGCAAGGATAAACAGTGTTGTGGTTGTCTATTCTTATGTAGTAAAGGCCAAAAAGAAACTGTGTGCATTAATTAGAGCTGTGAACTGCTATCTCTACTACAATCAATATTGCTTTGCCTTCTTTTCATATGGTAACCTTTAAAAATGTTTCTACCAAAAGTATTAATAACTTTTCAAAGGCACAGAATTTTGCATACACCCAGGTAATATTAGAAATATATTGGAAATATATTTATCTGGTAGCTTCTTTCTGACTCTTAGAGCTTACCTTTACTTTTTCATTTATTGACTGATCTGGATAGTGGGATTCCAGGATAGGATTTCTAATTTTAAAAAGACATGCAAATGGCTTGACACTTACCTTCCTAGAAAGTCATCCTTGTCTGGATCTTCATCAAAGAGTTCAATCTCCAAGTCTTGTCCTGGATGTTCATAGACTAAGGCCTGGAAATATAACAAACAAGATAGCTAATTCAGCCTGAATGTATTACTTAGATCAGGGGTCCCCAACCACCGGGCCGCGAACCGGTACCGGTCCGTGGAACATTTTCTACCAGGCTGCCGGTTTGCTGGGCGCCACCATCTTGTTTGATGAGAAAGTGCTTCCGGGTGAGCTTTTCCGGTTGGAAAGCGGCGTTTGGGTCCTGAAGGAATCCTTGCGCCTTAGTTTCATCGAAGGGGGGGGCTTCGAACGAAACTAAGGCGCGAGGATTCTTTCAGCACCCAAGGCAAGGCGAGCCGAGCAACCGTCCTGAAGCCGTCCCAAAGCGAAGGTACAAAGGTACAAAGGAGGAACTGAAGGTGGCGGGGAGAAGCGGGGGACGGCTGGCTGGCCGGTCGCTCGGCTTGCCTTACCTTGTCATGCGTGCTGATGCCGGTACTGGGCCGCGGCTCATTCTGTGATGCCGGTACCGGGCCATGGCACAAAATAGGTTAGGGGCCACTGACTTAGATTATAATGTTTTTAAATTAGATAAAAACATTAACAGATTATTAATTTAGGAAGCCTCTTTCCTCTGTGAGCCCAGGGCAGCACACATGGGTTTTTATCCTCATCTTTATCTTATAAAATGTATAAAATTTTATAAAAGTTAGATTGGGTTAGTTATTCTATCTCAGCCCCAAATCACCCAATAATGTCCGTGACTAAACAGGATCTTTAATTGGAGTCTCTCTTGCCTCAGTCTAGTATTAGTTACTATAGTATTCATTCCAAACCATTCCTTTACTGGCATTTCCACAATTTTTATGGTATAGATCTAATATGAAATTACAACTTGCTAGTAAATCACAGATGAGGAAATCAGAGACAGGGTGAGAAAGAACATATAGGTATCCCAAGGCTCATTTTTATATTAAACATAGCTTGGTGTTTTATTTGAACTGTTCTACTGAAGTGCAATATCAATTTTTCTCCAACAGTTAAAAATAATAATTAAAGATCAACGTATTTATAGTAGAATTATATGATATCAGTCTTGAAGGACCTAAACGCTTAAACACATTTTTCAAAACTAATACTGGGCAGTAGTTTCGTACCTCATAAACTTCATTCCACTTTGGATTAAGATTTTCTTTGATAACTTTGCTTTGGAAAATTTGATTTCCCACTTGAATGATCCCATAAGGGTCAGACTTTCCCTTAACGAGTCCCTTTAAGTATGTATCTTTTCCCTCAAGATCCTGAGCTTCAAGGAAATGTATTCTTAGTACACCCTGAGAAGAGACAAGAAAAGTTGTCCATTATACAACGTTCGGCAACAAAGTATCATCAGCATAACTGAACGTTTTTCAATGAATTCTCTAGATTGGAAACTATTTTTTTTTTTATTCTTTCTTATGGAGACTAGTCATAGCAGTATTAAACTGACTTTTAAAAATTATTTTGGAGGCTAGATATAATAGGCATGAATTGTTAAACCTATGCAGGTAGTGTGTAACTAAAATAAATAAAGGCATACTTCCTTCTAATTGTATCTTTGCACTTTTAATAAAGATGATAATAATAATACTAATGTAAGCAACTCTCTCTCTCTCTCTCTCTCTCTCTCTCTGTGTGTGTGTGTGTGTGTGTGTGTGTGTGTAAAGCATCAAGATACAGCAGTGGAACTGAAGCTCTTCCCCACTCTTTGTACACATGTGTGACATCAGCATATGCACTAAGGGAGTGGCATTTTAATCACAACATTGCAATCTCCATTTTTACTTTTTTGATGCCCCTGTGCCCGCCTTTGCCTTGTGGACATTGCTGAGACTAGGATAAAGGAGAAAAAAATGTCACAGAGATAAGTTGTCATTAATTTTATGTTATTTACATACATCTACATCATAATTTTAATAATAGTAGGAAATGAGTCCGGGGAAAAAAACCCAACAATTTCTAGATGTATCTGAAAAATTAACTACATAGACCAATAAAACCAAATACTTTGCATGTTACAGGCATTCATAAATGTCTCCCTTTTCCAGAGTTTCTTTCATGCTGCCATGGAAATGTCTGGATGAAGAGAAACCACTGGGATTAGCATTTCTTAAATGAACTGGAAGAACCCACCCAACTGATTACAATTCAGTGTCCAGACAAAATGTCCCAATAGTGCAGAAAGAAAAGAGGTTTTCTGTTGTTTTGAAATTTAATGGCCCAATAATAACTTAAAAGCCACATTCAAAGAATCGTTACCTAGTTGCCAGAAATGTATTGTTTGTTCAGTATCTAGCTTTCTTTTATAACCATCATTGTCAGAGATTGTTCTGCAAATGCTTTGATAAACAAACATTTTGTTATGTCAAAATATTATGTTAAAAACCTTACCTTTGGTATGGGGAACCGCAACTGAGCAATCTGCACTTCACTGACAAAAGGAACAGTGATTCGATTTGGAAGTACTAGATAATTAGATATTATATCTAGTATTATAGTGTCAGATAATCCACTAAATGAAAAAAAAATCAATGAAGTTATTTTAAGGTTAGTATTAATTACACAGACTGCCATTATCAAAACAATTACACGCAAGCTACACTTCTAATACTTAGCAGGGCAGGAAAATAAATATGCAAGTTGAAATTCTCTATTTCAATTTAATCTTCTGCTCAGTCTAGTTTCTATTTTGGGTGGGGGAAATTGTCTGGGATATCAAACCATCAATATATTCATTCTTCAATACATTTTCATCTTCCATTTCATAAACCAGCTATAGAACTTACAAACATTACAACAAGCCTACATATGAAAACACCCCGTCCTTGTCTTCTATGACTTATCATCATCTTTTACAGACTTCCGTGATTTAGCTTATAATGGTATTCAGTGTTTCATAAAAAGGCTACGGATTGTCTCCATTATTTAGGAAGGAAAATAACAGCAAACAACCAGCTTATTAAATTGAATCATATGGATAAGGAATATTCCAAACTCATCTCCCTCTCTTGCAAAATATTTTCAGGAGAGAAAGTGAAATTTGGCACAGCCCTATTCCCTTTAAGCAATGGTGCTGCTGACACTAATGATTTGCTTTCACAAATGATCCCAAAATGGAAGTAAGCCCAAAGCATGTATGAATTTCATCAATACCTTTGATCACCACAAGATGGAAACAGCAGTTTAGAATAAGACAGATGGCCTTATTATATCTTAGTATAAACCTTATTCTTCCTTCCTGCATTATCTTTCATCATACTATATGAAGGTCTACTGATTAGCTCAAAAGGTTCCTTATTTTGCATTCTTTTTCTATAGTGCAAATAGATGAAGCGGTGTTACATTTAAAGTTCACATATAAAAAGCTATTATTTTGTTTTTAAAGGCCGGGATGGAGCAAACCAGCAAATAAAACATGCTGTCAATTTGACTGTTTTATTGTCTGCCTGGAAATCACCTCAATCTGCTACCTTAGGACTTTCATCGTTTTTACAACAAATATTATAAAGTTAAATTAATTATGGCAAATATTACAAAATTAATTTAAAAATTAAATTTGGGGCTTCCGTAACCTTAACCTTAACCCAATTTATTTATTTATTAAATTTCTATGTTGCCCATCTCCTCCACAAGATGACTCTGGACAGCTTACAAATTATAAAAACAAATGAAAAATAATATATTAAAACAGGCATTTAAAATATTATTAAAATTGTGCTTAAAAACAAATACTATGAAATTAATTGTGGAAAAAATACTGTAAAGTTAAATTAACAAATGTTGTAAGTTATATTAATATACGGGCATGCAAATACATATACATGTACATATATCAGTAGTGGGATTCAAATTCTTTTTCTACCAGTTCTGTGGGCGTGGCTTGGTGGGCGTGGCAGGGGAAGGATACTGTAAAATCTCCAGTCAGAGGTGGTATTTGCCGGTTCTCCGAACTGCTCAAAATCTCTGCTGCTGGTTCTCCAGAACTGGTCAGAACCTGCTGAATACCACCTCTGACATATAAATATATACATACAGACACACACATACATAATACACACATGCACACACACACATATACATACATACATACATACATACATACATACATATCCATCCCATCATCTTTTTTGGAGAAAGGCATGGGAGAGAGAGATAAGAATATAATGAAGTGCCCTCAAATGACGAATTAGGAAATAATGAAGTCAATCCATTAATTCTAATTAGGATATCTTTTTATAGAATTGGTATGAAACATGAACACTGAGTCATCTCCTTCCCTGCCCATAAATACTATCCAGTCTTTTGTTGTCCTTTATCAAGCCAGGAAGGAAAACAATTGCAAAAAAAAAAGGGGGGGCTGCGAAAAGCACAAGCCTTCCTGTATCTATTCATTCTAAGCAAAGAAGTGGAATGCAGAGAGCAGACAGTGTCTGTGTGCATCAGATATAATGTAAAAGAGATTATTAACAACAGCGATGGGGACAGATGAAAGAAAGCAGCCAATACTGGGCTCTCATTAACATGTATCCAACTCTGTTCCTGGAGCTCCCCTGGATTTGCAAGACACATGTTTACAGCAAAATCCCAGTTTAAGAAAACAATACTCTGATCTGACTGGTATCAACTCAGCTGAAAGAGCAGCAAGTATCATGGGATTTAAGTTGTTTACATGAAATGCAGCTAGTTTGTTTAATTGTAAAACATGCCTGCAGTCTGCCCTTAGTTACTTTCAAGCCGCTCCTAAATTAATGCACATTGACAAATTTTAAACAATATCTGGTACTCACCTCAAGGCAGCTTGTTAACAATGAAAACTAATTAAATTTCACTGTGGGTCATACAAACCCACCTGCCTGCTTTGTCTTAATCTCACACACGCGCGCACACACAAAATGTCGATTTTGATATTTTCCTTACATAAACTACATATCTATGATCCATCTGCCTTTGAAATAAAAGATTTCTAGATGGATCAGGAAGAATAGCTGCACAAAGCCACTTTACTTGTGGGTGAATTCAATTAAATTAATAAAAAAAATATTTATATTCTCCCATAGCAGGAAAAACTTTACTTTAGGGAATTAATCTACCAACCTTATAGCAGCAAAGGCTATTCATGACATGACCTTCACAAAACATGAGATGGCTGTCAAATATACCCTACTGGTGCCCTATGATCCTGGTTCCTCCACTGTATAGCTGGAAAGATGCAAATTGCAACTACCCTCACCCCTTCAAGAAAGTTTTATTTTCTAAATAGGAGACACATGCCACTTCTAGCTGCCACAACTCATCAGACTAAGCTAGCTACCAGAAGCAGTGCAATTCTGGATTCGGTCGAACATTGCTAAATCATCAACAGGTCTTTTGGAAGCTACATCTCCCTGATTAATTCAAAAAGGGCCGGTGGCCAAGTGAGAGGTCACAGCAGACCCTTTTTATTGTAAGGGTGATGAAGGGGGCCAGTATATAATTATGAAGACAATTGTGTAGGTGCTTATATCTCTATTAAGGGTGCATCAAATAATGCCAGCCACCGTTTTTGGATTTCATCAGCTATGGTTGGCCGATTGCAGCTTTGCTGATTGATGGTTTCATTTCTTACTCAGTCTATCAGTGTGATGCCAAGGATCCTACAGACAGTGTGCATTTGGAAGGTTTCCAGATTTAGATTTAGATTTCTGGCTATGTAAGCGTCAATGATTCAGCTCCATATAGTAGCAATAGTGGTATCAGTGAATAAAATGGTCAGAGTTTAGTTTATACAGAAATGTTAGGCACCTGATGATTAAACAAAAGCCGTTTGGTCTTTCACTTCAGCTGTTAAGGCACTCCCATTCACCCTGGTAGGCCATAATCTTTGAATTTTTGTACTATCAAAAGGGTTTCCCAGTCTGCATACGGGCATGGTCAAGGATGTGTCCTGTCTCACTACCATTCAGTATGGGTAGTCCTCAACTTACAACCACAACCGGGACCAGGATTTCCATTGCTAGGCAAGGCTGTTTGTTAAACAAGTCACACCAATTTTATGTCCTTTTGGATATGATTAAATGTTAAGTGCTGCTAAGTGAAGCACATGGTCCTTTAACAAATCTAGCTTCCTGATTGACTTTGCTTATTGGAAAGATCTGGCAGGGAAGGTTGCAAATGATGATCACATGGCCTCTATATGCTGTAATCATCATAAATACATATCAGCAGCCAAGCCCCTAAAATTTGATCATGTGACTCTTGGGATGCTATGAGTCATATATGTGAGACCTGGTCCATGATATATTTTTTTTCAATGCCACTGTAACTTCAAATGGCCATTGAAATGGCCATTGTAAGTTGAGGACTACCTATATGTCATCATGAGAAACATTTTCACAAATAAGTGTGGAATTCATCATTCTAATATGCAGATGACTACAAATACAACCAAAAATACAATCCTATGAATATATCATCAGATTTAGCAATGAAATTGTTGCTACATGTTTATTTAGGAAGCCTAACTTCTGTTGTTTTTTTAAATTTTCACTAATGTACTGTCAATGATAAGATATAAGCAGAAAATGAAGCTGAAATATTTCAACCCAATTAAATATCTGCAACATGCCGCAATATACTAAACACAGCTGATTTTATTAAGGTATGTGGAAATGTACATATCAATTGTATAGAATGATTTCATCACTCAAATATTTTCCACTTCAGGTCTTAAAATCGTTGGACTGCAACGCAAGCTGGAATGACTTACTGTCTTTCTTTGAAAGCATGACCCAACTAGAACTTGACAGCTAGAATGAAAATAGCTTTTCATGCATAAAAACATGTTGTTTTCTTCTGCATGTTACAGTATTAAAGTTGACAGCAGAGGGTGATTCATCCAGAAAACTGAACAGTATAGAAATCTAATTTTGTTACTGATAATTATATAAACCTTTCCCCAATAAATATTTTTCAACAGTCTAAAACTAAAACCCAATCTATCCATTAGTCTGCAGTTTGTAAATTAAAAATGCCATTCACAATCCTATATCAATTTACAACAGTTCATGTACAACAGTTCATTTGAAGTTACAATGGCATTGATAAAAGTGACATGACCATTTTTCACACTTACAGCCGTTGTAGCACCCCCTACAGTCACCTGATCAAAAGACACTTGGCAATTGACTCATATTTATGATGTTTGCAGCATCCAGGGGTCATATGAACCCTTTTTGCGACCTTCTAATAAGCAAAGTCAATGAGAAAACCAGATTCACTTAACAACTTTATTACTAACATAACAACTGCAGTGCTTCACTTAACAATTATGGCAAGAAAAGTTGTAAGATGGGGAAAACTCACTTAACAAATGTTTCATTTAGCAGCAGAAATGTTGGACTTCATTGCGGTTATAAGTTGAGGACCACCTGAATATTGCACCGTTTACCAACTGCAGGCCACTTACGTTTACAAACTGCAGGCTTTCATTTGTGTTCCAAGTTAAAATCTATGCAGATTCTCAGTCATTCAGGTCATGGTTGTCCCAAAGGTGGTTTTTCAAGAGGCAACTGGACTTTCTGGTTTTTCTTTGAAGACTTTTCAGCTCAAAACTGAAAAAACTTCTTGGATGAGAAGCGAAACGTCTTCAAATCAAGTCCAGTTGCCTCTTAAAAAACCAAATTTGGGTTAAAATCACATACTATACTCATCTAATTGACCACCATGTGCCAAGTGTTGATGTTAACCTTAGTCCCAACTCAAACTCAACTTCTACCCTTCCAGTGATATCATAGGACAGCATTATATAGCCCTCAGAAGCTGGAATGGCAGATTGTGGCGAGAGAATAAGGGAGGCGTAGCAATTTCCCCTACTGACTTTCTGGAAACTGGCAGACAAAGTTGCAAACAATAACGTAATAACACTGTAAGTGCAAGCCAGTTGCCAAGGGCCCAGATCCTGCAGGGACAGCCAGAGGACTGGTCATAACCACCATTTGTTCTCCACCATCATAACGTTGAATGATCGCTGATGGAAGATATTCATGTAACTTTTTGCAAAAAAACTGACAAACATATATGCATACTAAGTTGTACATATCTATAGAAATAAATTCATTCAATTTTGGCTTACTTGAGTCCTGGAATATCCAGAAGATTGGTCAGTCCTGTCCAGTTAATTTCCAAAAGCTAGAAAGATATAAAAAATAGTATTAAAATGTTGCCCAGAACAACCACAGTTTAAGAAGCAGGATATCCTGATGGTCAGAAGAATTTCTGCTAAAACTCACTCAGAAAACTTTGAGTTTTTAACTTTTTATGTACCAGTGATTTAGTTAGAAACAGCATTCTTAGACAAGAAAAATCAGTGTAGTAATCTTTTAAAGAAGAGCTCTCCAGCCTTTGCAACTTTAAGAAGCCTGAAATTCAAGCCCCAGAATTTATTAATTATTTTTTTGTTAATTTTTTTAAATTAATTCTTTAAATTATAGAATTGCAGCAATAGTTGTGAAACTTAACATTCACATATTTGGAGAATGTCAAAGATTGGAAAGCTTTAAAGTAGTGTACGTGTTTTTACCAGAACAAGATTGAGTCACAAGATCTCAATTTACGACTACCCAGAATATGATAATTTAAAAGCAATGAAATAAAATTTTCTTTAGGAAGGAATTTTTTTAAAAAAATTCAACGTATCCAACATTTGTTCCATAGTGGAATCTTCACATACATCTAAACTCAAAACAACTACAGACTGTTATTGCTCAGCAATATTTCTGTGAGCTCTGTCCCATTTTACAACCTTTTTGCCACAGTTGTTAAGCCAAAGTTGTTAAATGAATCTTGTTAAGCAAATCTGGCTTTCCATTGACTTTGCTTATTGGAAAGTCAACAGAGATGGTTACATAAGGTGATCACATAACCCCAGGACAGTGGAACTGTCATAAGAACATGCCAGTTGCCAAGTGCCTGAATTTTGATCATGTGACCATGGGGATGCTGCAGTGGTTGTTAAGTGCGAAAATTGGTCTTAAGTCACCAAAGCAGTACTAGATTTGGCCATGCTAAGAAGTATGGAAACTGCACCCCATGCAATCCCTTCTCCAAGTTGGAGAAGATTGTTTTAGAACAATAAATTTATTCACTTGGTGATACAGTATTAATGCAGAAAATCATGCTCCAGAATTTACAGCAAAATGGCTAATACTGACTTCTATAGTGTGCACAAGGATCAGTTTTATGTACAAATCTATGATAAAGACATCATAGACAGGCTGTACAACCGTAATGAAGCCTGCTCCTTATGGTGTAAGTTGTCATAGTTATAAAGCAGGTCACAATGTACACATTTTTATGATCTCTTTTGAGGTGGTGGTTAAGCAACTATGGCTGTTGTAATGCAACTTTGGTGGTTGTACGACAGACCCTTTTTTCTTATAGGCCACTTTTGCACCAAAACATCATCAAATGTAGTCATGTGACTGCAGGACACTGCAGGCCAGTTGCCAAGTGCCCAGCATGCACTCAATGTGCCTCTTGATTAGTTTAATGCATTTCTATGTTTGCCTATTAAGAACTTTCTCTGAATAACATGTGTTGACTTGTCCATAGTTTTCCCTTTCAGAAGCCAACATTTTCACTGACTTCCAGGTTGCAGATATGCAATGTGCCCCATTAAGTGTTCCGGAGAGAAGGTGGAAAATGTTCCCTTTTCCCCAGACATGAGAACTTTTTCAGTGATCTAAATTGTAGTTCGCTGACTTTCTCCAACTGAAGAATTTAAATGTATATGGGTAACAGTCGACTACCTCATTCATGTATTTCTTAATTAGGAAAAGTGTATTAATTGTAGACTTTTCATAAACAGTCTACTAAATGTAGAACCAATATTTGGACCATTCATTTAATGCAGAAAATACAGTATCTCACAGGTCAAGTACAAAAAGTTTCATACTAAAGAGATAGATTTTAATCTAAACTGCTAATTGACCAGTTTTTGGATGTGCAGAGAATATTTATATGCCTTAAAACAGAAAATTAATCTGAAATCATACAGGCCAGATGTAGTTTGATGCCTTCAGTCTGTCTTCTGAGGTATTTATACCTAAATCGGGACCACTTCACCCTTTTTCAGCTAGTAGGCCCATTTAGTATTTTGAGAAGATATTGTGAACTATCTTGCAAAATAGCTGCAGAAAGGGCTTCCCCATTAACATAACAGCTGTCATGGGAGATACATCCAATTAAAAAGTACTAAGGAATGAATGGTTACAACCATTCCTAAGGGACATTCTCTACTACCCATATATTTTTGTCTTTATTCTGAGCAAGGCAGATACACTTACAATAAACAGATATAAACACACAAAGGCATATACTATAACAATTGAGCATTTTTATGTACTAAGCATATGAGATGCATCAGAGACCCAGAGGCAGCATAGACAACAAAGATTTGTTGATGGCTGGCACTCTGCTTTATGGCATGCCAGCTCATTTTTTTTAATTAAAATGCCTTTTTGAATGTAAACAGATGGAGGCAAGGTGTGTGTTAGGTCCCAATGGAAATATCAGTGGGTCCACTGGCATCTATACCAGTTTTACCAATCACTTGCAAAGTTTAAACTGTTTTTACAATAAAAGCTTATTCATTATGCCCTCAAATTAGCACCAACTTGGAAGATAATTTGCAGTTTGCAAAAAGAAAGTTTATTCACCAGTATGGACTAAATATAGAATTGTCAAAGTCCACTGGCTTAAATATGATATGTGCAGTTTGCTTGAAACCTTTAGTGCAAGAAAAGTTATAACAAAAATGTGATGCTTGTTTTTTAAATCACTTTGTGTTTGCTGAAGATATTTTAATAAGCATCTAACATTCATACCGTCTTCTATTAGTTTACCACAATGACTGTGGTAAACTGATTTTTTTAAAAGATTGATTTTTTAAAAATATAAGAAATACCAGGCAAAAGATGCCTGACAAAAACTTTGGCTCATGAACCACAGAAGACATAAGCAAATTCATTAGACATGTTCAGAACTATTAATTCAGGCAGTGCTACCATATATAGTCATCACAGTCAGCAACAGACACTGACTAAAGAGTGCACTGAATTATTGCCAAATGTTACTTTGGCCTGGAAAATATGAGAAGAAACATTATTAGATGCCAACTAACCCAACAGTTCTCCCTCTGGACAAAATAGTGATTTTTCTCTCTTGCTGTAGCCTCTGATGATCCAAGGGATAGAAAATAGCTATATAATAAAATGTCTGCTTGTAGCTCCGGAGGAAGGATATGTAAGAATTCTATTCCATTAAATATTTTAGATTATTGTTTTATTTTATTGCAAATTATAAACATTCATTTCATTTTAATGATACTATACTGAAAAACCTTAGGGCTGTGATCCTGGAAAACTACAGTATTAATATGAGGGCTTGTCTTAAGTATTTTGGCTGCAGACATTATAGCTGTCTTGACACTTATGAAGCTTACTCAATATGATAGTGGTCTAAAAGGCATTTTAACAGAATTCTAGTTTATTATTACTGAGTAAATATTTTAATCTATATTTTAAGTCTTTACATGGCTTTAAGCATAGACTCCAACTTGTCAATGCTCTAATAAGCACACGACAGAAATAATTTACAAACTCCAGATTACAAATTAGAGGGAGATACAAGCCAGATGTCTAGCATTGGGCACAATACCACAGTTGATGATTGCAAGAGGATCCAAGCACTTGTCAATTATCAACTGTTCTTCAGAAAATCTTACAATATTATCACTGGCTGCAGCAGACTTCCATCTCTCCTGGAAGGAGAATCAGAAATTGGCAGGTGATCTGAATGTATTCTACTGTAGGTTTGAGAGGAGGCCATTGTCAACTATTGCTACTCTCTCCATCTTAGATACATCAATAGCACCTAGGTCTCCTAAACTTGACTCCATCCCTCTGGGGGGGGGGGGGGCAGCTCTGAAACAAAAAGGTGGAAAAGCACCAGGGGCCAGACAGAGTAACTCCCTCTTGCTTAAGAGACTGATCAACCCATCTTCACTCGCATCATTAATAAAACACTGAAGACGTGTTATATTACTTCTTATTTCGAACACTCTACTGCCCAAGGAGTGGAATGATTTACAGACCAGTGGTTCTGACATCCATAGTTATGAAAACCTTCGAAAGGCCCAGCTGAAAGCCATCATAGATCTGCTGCTAGACCTATTTGCTAGTGCAAATAGGTCAGCAGATGATGCTGTCAACGTGGTACTGCACTACATCTTACGACATTCTTGAATCCCCAAAGAATTATGTAAGGATATTTTTTTTTTACAGAGGAATTATTAAGTCTGTCATTTGTATCTCAATAACTGTCTGGTTTAGCGTAGCAACCAACTAGGACAGATAACTATTTAAGACTGCAGAAAAACAATCGCAACTAGCCTGCCTTACTGTTGAGGGCTGAAAAAATATCTACAGACCCCCTCACATCCTGGACATAATCTATTTCTCCCCTAAACTTCTCCCCTCAGGATGCCACTATAGAGCATTGCATGCCAAAACAACCAGACATAAAGATAGTTTTATCCCCCATGCTGTCATTCTGCTGAATCCTTAATTCCCACAGCACTGCCTCATTTCTTATTGTTTATCCTCTTCTCATCTTTCTTACTATCTTCTCCTATTGGTTTCTTAAGATTTATCAATTGTTGTTTATAACTTACGATTAATGAGTGTAATTATGATTATGGCTTATGACCTATTACTTGCTGTTGGAGTTTATGCAGTGGAGACAAATTCCTTGTGTGTGCAATCACATTTGGTTCATAAACCTGTTCTGTTCCATTCCATTCCATTCCATTCCACTCTAAACTGTATTCTATTCTAATATTATGCTACAACAGTTACAAGGAAAAAAGAAATACAGAAATTTCCACTTACTGGTTTCCTAAGGAAAAATAAAGATAGTGCTCCAATTAAGGGTATATCACCAAGCAGAGGTTCCAATATAACTCTCATTGTGCCATGAATCTAAAATAAAAAAAGAAAATAGCTATGATCAAAGCACTAAGCCAGTTTAGTGTAGTAGTTAAAGGCATCAGGCTAGAAACCAAGACGCCATGAGATCTGTTTTAATCGCCTTACAAACAAAACCAGCTAGGTGATCTTGGATCAATCATTCTCAATCCTAGCAAGCAGGTAGTGGCAAACTACTTCAGAAATCTTTCCAAGAAAACACCAGAACCTAGTTCATGTAGTCACCAGAGTAAAAAGTTGACTCAGGAGTACATGCATGTATACATACACAGCACTAACCATGAATTAAAAATTACTTTAGCTATTATATATTATGTAAAATTCAATCCGAACTTGAATAATGTTAAACAGAATAAAACTATACTACTTCAGTTGTAGCTGAGGTCAGAAGGTACATTTATGGAAATGTGAACTGCTAACAAGGTATAATAGATAAAAAAAGAAAAGAAACTCACTTGTATACTTTTCACTCCAGCTCTACAGAAGTATCTCTTGATCTCCAAATCAATTTCACAGTTTCCCACAAAACTGAGAAACATAAGAAAACACTATAATATTGTTCTATTTATATAAGCCATTAATAAATTGCTGTTAAAAAAAACAATTTCAGGACATCAAAAGTTTAAGTATTCACTTTTTCTCTAAATTATAGCAAGACTGTAACCCACTGTGGCTTGGCTAAAATGGACCTTTAACTATCTTGTATATGTTGTACAACCACTATCATAGCAAAAATGTTAATCTGTTTAATGTTAAACGTTTAATGTCAATCTTATACATTATTACATATTGATTATATTGTATACCACCTAGAACCCCTTTCTGAGAGAAATAGGTGATTAAGAAGGGTGTGTGTGTCTGTGTGTGTCTGTATATGTGTGTGTGTGTATCAGTAATTTTATATTTTTATATATGTGTGTGTGTATGCATATGTATATATATATATATGTGTGTGTGCGCGCACACACACACACACATATATACACCTTTCATACAAACTACTTATCATTGTACATTGCAGATGATTTTTTTTATTTCCTGCTTTTTTTCCTTATAATTTAATATTGTGTTAGTTTAGGCTACACATCTAATAAAATAAACAAGGTAAAAAAGGAAAATACTAGTTGATTACACCCAAGCAATTAATTAATGACCTTCAGGTCTATATAGATTGGCTTAAGTCTTTGCAACACAGCTTACATGAAATATGATCTACTATTTAGACACAGACTGAAGCAGAACACTTTATCCGCTGAGTATATAATGGCTGTGAACTATTTACAGCTAAATCAATCTGCAGATCCAAGACATGACTACAGGCCTGTGATATACAGATCTCCACTGCTTGCCTTTTATTTCATTAATATTCTCACAATTTAAAAAGTGATAGTTTTCCATACTGTGCAAAAGTGGAGTAGCAAAAGAGCTTTACTTTCAATATTAAATGAACAAGAATAAAATTACATTATCCACTAAACTTTAAGCTTTTCATCATGAATAGCATCAAAAGTATTTGCTCATTCAGAATGCAAAGCTGATATAGTCACTTGTCCAAAAAAAGAATGAAATGGGGAAGTACTAAAGTAGTTAAAATTAAATTTATTCTTTCATCAGACCATGCATCACTCTTAGGTGACATGGTGTTGTAGTGCTATGATTTTAGCATCCTAGACGTCTAGCAACAAATAATACAAACTCCCACACCTGCAAGAAATCTAGAGGTCTATTTTGCAACAGGACCATCACATCCTCTAACAAATATAACACACAAAATTAGGGGTCCATTTTCACACTTTTCTTCCAATGTGATAATTATGCCAGGTCCCACCACAATGTTCGTCTGGGTTCCATACAGAAAAAAAATGAGACAAACCCAGGCCCACCAATTAATGAACACGTCAAAACTCAGCAGGACTCAAAACAAGGGAAAAATAATATTAGGCTATTTCAATACTCACAACAGACCCTAAAATATCTATTTAAAAAGAATGCAACTTTAATCCAAGATAGAGTGAAAAATTATTGAACTATATCAGAATGTTAATGTTTAATTTTTAATATTTTTTAATGATACTGGTTTTAGATATTTATTGTTTTAGTTTTCTTACAGGCTGCCCAGAGTCACTTGCTTGTGAGAAGAATGACTCTCTAATTTAGACAAACAAACAAACAAAGTAAAATCTTTCTGCCAATCTCAAAAGATGCCAACAAACACGACAGTCTTTAATACATTAAAACAATTAATTGATAAGATGCTTATAAATCTGACTCATATACAATCTGCGTAACTAAACTATTTCCCTTCCCTCTGTCTTTATCCTATATTGGTCTAGTCACTTTATTATCTGTTGAAATTTATAAAAGCTTGTCTTCTAATAAAGGTTAATAAAAGGAGCTACTTGCAAATAAATTTGCCGCAACAGACTAACACAGCTCTCCTCCTTCCCAACAAATAACATGTGATTTACAATTTGAAGAAATTTCCAAAACTTAATTTAAACACTCCAATAACATGAAAGATGGCCATTTTTTATTATTATCCTCCCTTACCCCAGAAGTGAGGCGCCCCCACTTTCCTGGCCTTCTGAAAAGAGGTTAAAACATGACTCTGTGGCCTTGCATAAGGTGCTCAAAGGAACACACAGTTGTAGGGTTGGCTAGTGCCTTGAAATCCCACCCTGTGTCAATTAATTTTAACAGGGTAAAAATTGCCTCCTTGAAAATTTTCATAATTTTATAACTTTTAAATTTTTAATTCTAAAATGTTAACATGTTCATTTTATACACTATTTCATATTTTGATGTATTATACATGCCCCAAGTGCCACTTTAAGGGAGATGAGCAGCCCAGAAATGTGAAATATAAATAAACATACAAAACATCTTTACTTTTCTTACATAGCATTTAATAGTTTAGGTAGCTAAAATCAAAAGAAAAAAGAAAAGAACACAAAAACTAAGTATTTGTTTTTAGGTTTGCTAACTACAACGTAAAACTGACTTTTAAACTGTGGGATTTCCATTTAATGGAACTCAAACAAGAGGCCAGTTGCCATTTGGAAAATGTATCTTTGGGGTAAACATGACCTGGATGATTGAGAATCTCCATGGACATTTAATGGAATTTAGGCTGTCTATAATCATTTACTTTAAATGTTATTTTTTCATTGCTAATTGATAAAAATTGCCTAGAGTGTAGCAAGTTATAAATGGAGTAAATAAAAATCTCAGGTCCATAATTAATAGAAAGATTTTCAGGTTCATAATGAATAGAAAATGGCTAGTTTCCAAACATACTATAATCTTCTTTTTTTGAGAGACATTTGGGAATAGTCGATACATGGAAACAAGTCTGTTTCCCCCCCCCCCCCCGATTATTATAGCAAGGACAGAAAAAATGAACTTAAGACTAAATTCGCACAAGTAATATATTCTTGTTATTGCTTTCATTAGTGCTATTAATTGTAAAAGCTGGAGACATAGAAATTGACTTCCATATTATTGGCATGCAACATAAGTTATTTATCCTATAATGGTATGTCATTTTTGCTAGCTTAATTTTTGTGCAGTAATGCTTTCTTGCTTAGGGTTGCATCACAGTCCCATCAACACATAGAGAATTTCTTTATTTTTATACTGATCTAAAAGACATTTCTTTTCCCAAGAAGCAAGCATTGCAACATTTTTGCAATGAAGAACACATTTTAAGGAATTTAAGGCATAATATATGCTTACTGGATTACCTGATTTGTAGATCCAAAATGATCTGCCTTTTATCCACATTTTCAGTATACACCTTCACACCATTAATTCTAATGGGCTGAAATAAAAATTTCCAGATTAATAGATCAATAGGTCTGTAAGAATGATGCCTAAATGTAAAACTCTTCTACTTTATTTAAAATATTGCATTACATAAAAATCGTCCCAGATGTTTACAGAGCTGATAATGTCAGATTGAAAGGATTATTATACTGAACTATATACATGTATTTTAAAAGGTAGCTCACTGGACAAGCAATGCTCAATAGCAAAAACATCAGAGAAAATAGGAAAGAAATTTTTAGTTCAATTCTTGCAATCTGCTTTAGTTCAAAGCTTCCAACCTAATTGATTCTTTTCGCCGTTAATACTAAGGGAATGACTTGAATTTATAAAACACTACTGCAACTTGCATGATTCAATGAGAAAGCAATTATGGAAATAATCTGCCCAGCTCTGAATTATTTGAAAATTAGTGTGAACTACCAAAGAATCCCATCCTGCACATGTATCCCTGTAATATATTCTTAATAAAAGTGCATAGTTTCTAGTCACCATTAATAAACACACACACCCATATACACAAAGACACCAACATATGCAGAGCCAGGCACCCATTGCTTCAGATTCTTAAATCAACATAGCTGAGTTGAGAGCAAACAAAATCTGCTCTGAGCAGAAGCTTTAGTGATTATGTGCCTGCCCTGTGAGCAAGATTTTCCAAAGGAGAATGGAGCAACATTTATTCAGTATATATATTTAGACCAAAAGCATTGATGTTCGAAAACTTGAATAATCTTGTAATGTGAGAAGTTTACATTTTGCAGCCTAAATACTTCTTTTATCACCATAGCAATCAAACAACTGATACAATACACTATCTGCTAGATAGGAAGATATATCAACCTACTCCACCCCACCCAACCCAGCCCAAATAGTTATGCAAAATTTACTGGAACGCAAAACAAACCAAGATGTACATACTTCATGTAGAGATAAGGTAAGAGAGACAATGTAATCTAGTTCTTTGTTAAGCATGTGTTAGGCACACTGGTGTATATGTGTAAGAGACTGAGACTATGAATCAATATTATAGGTAGTCCTAGGGGCCGTGCTGGCTCACGTGGTAAGACACTGGGTTTGCGCACCACTGAGGTTGGCCGTTCGATTCCCGTGGGCGAATAAACTGCGCAGGGGCAAGAAAGGAGCTGAGCCCGCGGGTAAAGATACCGCCCGGAAAAAAAATTCCTTTCACAGAGGCAGCCAACCACCTCGGTGATCCCTGGCTAGCAAGTGCCATATGCTAAATAAATAAATAGGTAGTCCTCACTTTTGATCCACACCCTCCAAAATTTCTGTTGCTGAGTGAGACATTTGTTAAGGGAGTTTTGCTTCTTTTTATGACCTTCCTTGCCGCAGTTGTTAAGTGAATCCCTGCAGCTGTTAAGTTAGTAAACACAGTGAATCTGGCTTCCCCATTTACTTTGCTTCTCAGAAGGTTGCAGAAACTGATCATTGATACACTGCAAATGTCATAAACACATGCCAGTTGCCGAGTGACCTAATTTTGATCATGCGACCATGGGGACACTACAATGGTTGTAAGCGTTGAAAAATGGTCATAAGTCATTTTTTTCGGTGCTGTTGTAACTTCTAACAGTCATTAAATGAACTTTTTTACGTTGTAAAACAAGGACTACATGTACAGGACTCCTGTAAACAGTATCATTCACTAACCTGAATTGTAATTCAAATAATCTGAAACAAGACTTTGGAACTAAAATAATATTCTTCCATCAATGATAAACACATTCAGAAAAACATGCTCATAAAATTTTCATATTTTTGCTTTTGGAACAAATCTGCTTCCCTGTCCAATGACTTAATGTTAAATAAAAGCAAAGCCATGACCTCAGTATAATATCTGATGATTCACTCTAGCTTCCAATGCAAAAAAAGAAAGCATACCTGATGCCCTATATCAATTTTTGTGAAACTGAAAGTACTCAAATGGCTGTTTGCTCCTTTCACTGCAGGCTCTATTGTTTCACGGAAGAGCTTCTCGATAAACTGGCAAATGAAAGGCCACATATGTTTCACTGTCTGCAAAAGGAAAAGAGACCACAAAGTTTTCAATGTTAATCCATGATCATGCTATTAGCCCTATTTCATTAAAAATATGAATTTCCGTATAGTTAGCCATTTATACCACCTTACCTTAGCAGCCCCTTAATTTTGGTAGCCTCTGAATGCTACTTTATTACCATATACCCATGATGGCAAGCCTTTGGCACGCATACCGGAAATGGCATGCAAAGACATCTCTCAAGGCACGCCGGCCATTGCCCATTGCTCTTCCAGGTTCCGGCACATGCCAGCCAGCTGGTCCTCAGGAGCCCTGGAAACCGGAACAGCAGCTCGCGGTACATACATGCGTGCTGGCTTCCTAGTCTTCCAGTTTCTAACACGCATATGCATGCGAAGCTGAAAGACCAGGTGGGCGGCGTGCATACGTATACCAGGAACTGCTCTTCTGGTTTTCAGCACACTTTTCAGTGCATGCGTGCTCCCGTTTCAGCACTCAGTGCTGAAAAGGTTAACCACCATTGCCATATACCATATACATAGTGTTTTACTGTATATACTCATTTGACAGTAAGATGAGTGGCATGTAAATTTAACAAATAATAAAATTAAGATAGTATAAGGATAATCTCATTGTGACTGTGGTGAGAGTGTCTAAAGCATGGGTGTCAAACTCAAGGCCTGAGGCCGGATGCAGCCCGTGGTGTGATTATATATGCCCGGTGGGGCTGCACTGTAGTGAAGGATCGATCTGCAGTGCCCCTGTCAGCGAAAATTGGGAGGGCCACACACAGCCCTCCCGGGCTGTTTTCATTGGCAGAGGGCTGCAGGAGGATCCCCACTGGCCACACCACCCTGGCCATGCCCACCCCGGCCTCCCAAGGTGGGCATGGCCCACACAATCCTAATGTGGCCCTCAATGCAATCGAGTTTGACACCACTGGTCTATAGTAACAGACAGATTACCTCCCTGGAGTCAACTACAATACTACAATTACAATTTCAGAAAGATCTTTTACAAGATCCAAAACGGTATAATAAAAGCACACCAAGTAAGAAATCTATTTTGTGACAGAGACAACATTACGTACTTTTACAAAATCTTCTAAACAGTAAGAATGTCAGTTTACCTTATTTAGCCATTCTGCTCTTTCAGTATCTGGAAAGTGGACCTGGCATTAAAAACAAAAGTTATAAATTAAGAAAAAAAATCTTTGAAAAGGAAATAACAATAACCAAGAAACAAAGGAATTTGGAGGAATTTGAAAGTAGGAAATGACCTCAAATATATTAGTAGCCATTGATTACAATTTTCCCATCTAGAAGTGGTTCAATGGAAGTTATGGCCATGGTAAATCTGAATAAATAAGATGTATCTGATGATTTTAATTTGTATACACAGAAGAAATAATTCAGCTGCTAAACCAGTGCTTCTTTAACCATAATCTAAACAATTATGTAAGCCTTCTCCCCACCCACCCCGAATAAAACTAATAAATCCATAGGTGCTAAGGCTGAGTAAGAAATAAAGATGCTATTTTAATAATTAGCTTTTAATCTATATATTGCACAGACTCTCAAACTTTGCTTAAAACCGATGGTCCACTGGACAATCTGCACAAGCAATTGAGGAGCAAAACTCAAGAGTGGATAGTCCTACTTGCCTGCCCAAGCCTACTTAAAATACATCAGTAAACCTGAAAGCCAGAGTTTGAAAACCCTTTACTGAAGCATTGGCTTGATTTATTACTATAATTGGTTCATACAGGAAGACCAGGAATCATTTTCATATTTTGCCTCTTCCTTAAATTTATAATTTTATATTACTTGTAGTCCTCTACTCACAATTGGGACCAGAATTTCTGTTGCTAAGCAAGATGATAGTTAAGTGAGTCATGTCCAATTTTATGACCTTTGCCACAGCTGTAAAGTGAACCATTACAGTTAATGAATCACACCATTGGTGGGCGAATTCAGCTTCTCCCATTGGCTTTGTCAGAAATCGTACGATCAAATGGTGATCATATCACTTCGGGATGCTCCAAATATATGCCAGTTGCTAAGCATCTGAATTCTGATCATGTGAGCATGGGAATGCCACAACGGTTGAAGTGTGAGGACTAGTTACAAGTTAATTTTTTTAGTGCTGTTGTAACTTCATAAATGGTCACTAAATGAATTATTGTTAAATTGAAGGCTACCTGTATTCTCAGAAAAACTCAACCATATGGAAAGTTCAATCATATGGAAAGTTTGACTAGATATCTTCTAAGTATTACATTTTCAAACGATATAAAAGCATAATATGCTACCCACAATATTTTGATACTCTTGTCACAAGAAAAGCATCTGGATGGGTGAGAAATTCTTTGTTTAAAGGCCTCAGATTAACTAAACTGGAAAGTAAAATGACAGAATAGAAATTAGCAATCCACTTCTACATTGCTGCCAAGAAAACAATATATTGTAGTTTCCAGAATTAAGACAGAACTTTCCTCTGAAGGATTGTATGAACAGAACCATTATATAAACGTATTAAGGTTTGGTTAAAAATGCTTACCTAAAATTATTCAGAGTGTTAGTTAAAGAACTATAAATATAGGTAATCCTTGACTCGCAACCCCATTTGAGCCCAACATTTCTGTTGCTAAGCCAGACAGTTTACAACTTTCCTCACCACAATTGTTAAGTGAATCACTGCAATTGTTAAGTTAGTAGCATAGCTGTTAAGTGAATCTGGCTTCTCCACTGACTTTTCTTCAAAGCCTTGAAGATTGCAAACGGGGAGTCACGTGACCGCGGGACACTGCAACCGTCATAAATATGAATCAATTGCCAAGTATCTGAAATTTGATCCCTGACCAGGGAAGATGCTGCAATCGTCATAAGTGTGAAAAACACTCTCTTTATAATTTTGAACGGCCCCTAAACAAATGTTTTTAAATCGAAGACTACCTGTAATTGGGGAAGCATCTGTCAACCCTTTCCTCCTGATCCATATCCCCATCACAATGGCTGAAGCATTTACCCCTAGTTAAAAACTACTGCACAACAACAAAATCTTTAAAGTATACCTAACCAGTCTTAAAGCTAAACTAACCGGTTCAGATCCTTCAGCTAATAGTTTACAAGCATTCTGGAGATGAACTTTTACAAGTTAATTGACACTCAGTAATAGCATTTTTATTGATGTTACTGGTTCACTGCAGGGGGAAAAAAACATAAAAACCAACAATTGACTCACAGTAAGAGATTTTTAAAACGGCTTGCATATAGATTTTTCTGTTTGTTTCAAACTTGCAACACCCTGACTAAAAGGGTTAGTGGTTATTTTTAATGTGCTTAAGTACATGAGAACTATCAATAATACATATTGGATGCTTCTAAGTATTATTATACAATATTTTATTTATACAGAATTCAAGTACAAGGGTCAGTCAAATCTGATGCACCCAGCAGACATAAGCAATGTCTCCATACAACTTGCATTCAGATCTATTCACTCCAATCCAGGAAAATTAAAACTTTTTTTTTAGTCCAAATAAATTCATGTTTTGGCATATTATTGCCAAAAAAAATAAGTTCTATATTGTAAGATTATAAGCATCTATGAAATAACTGAGAGGTATATAGAAATCTTCAAATGACAACAGACATTTTCTACAATATATGGACATTTCTTCTATCTACATGTAACAATTGTGACAGGTCAAACTGCTGGTGTCAAACTGACCCTGAGTTTGCGGTTGGCATAGCAAAAACCAAACAGGCATTTTTCACTCTTTCAGGATTTAACACATTTAAGAAAACCTCTACTCAGAAGCCAACAAAAACAATCCCCTTAAATACCACAGTTGAATTTACTGAAAAGTGTTCTCAAACAAAAAGAATTGCTTTAAAGTGTTTTTTTTTTAAAGGAAGTTTTGTAACAGCATCATTTCTATGCTTCATCTTCTGCTTAATACTTTTCCATCAACATTCAAAACTATTTTTTTTTATCACAAACCATTATTAGCATCATCTTAGCAGGAGTTCAAATATTTTAATAGTCAAATGTTTTAAAACTGAGTTATGCAAATCATCATGGTTTATTTTTTAATTTACTTCCCTATGGCTACCTATCTCATAGGATGACTCTAGGTCAGGAGTGCCAAACTCAAGGCTGGTGGGCAGGATCTGGCCCTCAGGGTGCTTAGATTTGGCCCGTGCAGTCGGCCTGCAAACAACAAAGGACTGGCCTGCGGTGCCTCTGCCAGTGAAAATGGAGCTTGGGGAGGGTCATGCGTGCCCCCCATGCCCCATTTTCAGCAGCAACAGCCTCCTGCAGCCAGCCCACTGCCAGCGAAAACAGAGCCCGGGGGAGGGGAGTAGGCGCAGGCTACATTTTCACTGGCAGAGGGCTGATAAAACAAACTAAATACAAAACAAAAGGAGAAATGTTTCTTCTTTTGCATTTGAGCCTGCAAGGGACAAGAAAGGGAAAAAGACAAAGGAAAAGAAGGGAAGAGCAAGGAAGGAAAAAGAAGGAAAGAGGTGAAGGAAGGAAGAAAGGAGAATGAAGAGGGAAGGAAAAAGAAGAAAAGGAAGGGAGATTATAATGAAAGTGAAGGAAAGTCTCAGGGAAGTTCTGCCTTAGCACTTGGCCATCACAGTTGCCTCCGACACAGAGTCCCATGTCACACACAACATTGCCATGCCCACCCCAGCCACACTCACCCGAGGTCAAACACAACCCTAATGTGGCTCTCAATGAAATTGAGTTTGACACCCCTGCTCTAGGTGGCTCACAACAATCCATAAAAACGTTAAAAACAAAATGCTTCCTTTTCAACCTCCACCCCATGCCAAACCAATCATCCTTGTAGCTCACTCAACCCCCATCCTAACCCAATGCTTGAGCAAAGAGCAAGGTCTTCACAGCCCCCTGGAAGGCTAAAAGGGTAAGATATTGCTCAGATCTCGGGGGGGGGGGGGAGCTGCTCCAAAGGGTTGGGAAGCAGTCACTGAGAAGGTCCCATCAAGTGGTAATATTTAAGGGATGAGACCTAAAGCATAACTACCCTAGAACAGGTAGGTGCATTCAGAGAGAAGTAGTCCTGCAAGTAGCTTCGCCTTCCCCCTCACCTCAAAAAAGACTAGTATTTTAAACATCTATTTTCATCAATACATTATTTGCAATTACGTTTGATCATTTTTTTCTATATCCTTGAATTGCATATTTAGTTAGCTTCCTCAAGCTTTCTTTTAATAAGAATCATAGCATAACAATTTAAATTAAAAATTACATTTGTGTTCTATATTGTGCAATTTGTTCTCCAAGTAAACTACAGATTCTCAGTTTCCAATAAATTTCTAATATAAACTAAAATAATTAACAACTTACTCTGGAGGACACAGCAATGGAATTAGAGAATGCTTCCTTATATGATTATGACTTAAGGAGAAAATAGGGGGGGAAACCTTATTATATTCAATAGAAAAAGAAGTAAATATATTGCATCCTTACAAAAACCATCACCATTATAAGTCATTTCATTGTTTGAACTTGCTAAAAAAGTATACTCTATTATTCTACAAGTGAGCCACCACCTTGACCAGTATATACTTAAATCCTTTTTAGAAGCCAAACAAATGCATTACAGAGAAATTCAGTACCTATTTTATTTCCAAGCATATGGACAGTTTAGCTTTGAAAAAGCCTTAATCATTAAGCAATGAATAATTCTGAATCCCAGCCTGAATGTTAAAGAGATTCATTAAAAAAGAGTATTAATATAACAAAACATTTCAGCAACTAAAACAAATATTTAAATGAAAGGAAAAAGCAACTGATATTTTCTGAAAGCAGATATGAAGACTGAAAGTAAATAAAAATGTTATCAATTCATACACCAATCCCTCTTCTATGGATGTAAGATCTTTTTTTTAGATCAAATTTGAGAAAGCCCATTTATTTCATACAGTACAATACTGCAGCATGTATATGGAAACAAAAGCATCTGGATATATCAAGCAACAGAAATCTAGTTTTTAATTATCTGAAATGTAGCCTGCCTACAGGTATATTTTCTAGTGCAATGAAAAGGCAAACATTTTTCATTATCCAAGCTGGGTCATCTTTCATGTACTCACAAATGGGGCCACAGGGTGACCAAGTTTTTTGGAAGACTTG